AAGTTTATGACGCATTGCATCCTCCTTAGTCCTTAGTTCTAAACCGAATTTTTATTCTTTTATTCAAACATCAATTTAGATTGTAATATGGCAAAAAACGTGCTTATAAAAGTATCCTGGTTTGGGCACATAAGTACGATCCTATAAAACTATTTTGAATCTAGCTAATTATTTATTTAAATGTAAGCAAATCACGTCATACATTCAATTCTATGTCACTCTTTAGTTGCACAGTTTCATACTAAGGACGCCTCCTACTTTTAATACAATAAATTCGATGATATCTGATCTAATGTCTCAATTTAACAGCCGTAACTCTCTTGAAAAATTGCTGGCAGCTTCTTTAATAAATTTGGAATTGCAACTTCCATCTCATTCATCTATTCCAGACAACCCCCAAGAAGATGGTCCTCCAACGAAAGCAACACTGAATGATCTCCTTAAAGAAAAACTGATGATTGCAAAAAATCCTCCCTTTGTACTTAAGCATTACCACTCATGGTTTACGGCTCTTTATCAAGGTGTTGTTCGTGCAGGATTAACCAACAACAAAGAAGACATATCAAAAGATATTCATAGTATGAACACACCCTGGAAAAAGATAACCGCAGAAGAGTCCATTTACACCCTGAAATTGGAAATTTCTCAATTTACTATATCAAGAAATTGTTTTGTTTTGCTAGACCATCATGGACAAAAGTGGGTTGGAACAAGGGAACTTTTGTTGCAGTATATAGATCTATTCCTTCAAAGACCAACCAAAGCAATATGAGCGCAGCGACCCAGACATGCTTTTGAGGGCAATGCTGACCAGGCAAACGTTATTAATATTTAGCGCTGCCGTGTGTAAGCAGAGATTTCAATTATGCTCGCTGCTTCCGCTAACCGCTGCATATTTCGATTGATTGCTTCGCGATCACTCACAAGTAGAATAGTTCGGCAACGTATTCAGCTCTGCCAGCTGCCCCATCATTGGTTGCTCCACATTCAGCAATGCAATGATAGTGAAAACGAAGAGAGGCGGATTGTGAAAATCACATTTGGTGACAAATTTTGTATAAATAGTCTTAAGTTTGTTCAATAAAATAAGACTAGAAATAACGACAAACAACTTGTGTTTCCATTCTATGCATTGCGGCAACCCGTTAGTTGCCTATTGAACGGCCTAAGCCTTTAAAAATAATACGAATGAGATAAGATAGGAAAACCTCCACTACACTTTCAAGCACACACAAGTTTACATGGTCCATTATTTGTGAATGCGGTTTTGTTATATGCTAAATGTTCAAATTTGTGACAATAAGGATTTTTTCTTTTTTTTTTGATTTCTTAAATTATTTCAAACATTTCGGAGAAAATTAAAAATTCTAAGATTGTGTTATTGTTATCACTTTCTAAGATTCTTCTACCGAAAAAGAAGGAAAGTCTCAATCTAAAGAGGCAGTATACTCGTTCAGAACAAACAAACCAGTTACAAGTAAATGCGATCGCGGAAACTAAAGTTGCTACATACCCATCCGACTGGTTTAAGTTAGCAAAGGCCAAGCCTTTCTTTCCAAGCTGAGGCTGCCATTGAGTATGTTTGTCTATGCTTAGTTTCCAAACCCAACTCATCAAATTGGAATGTCAATCTTTCCTGTAGTTTATCGATTCTCATCGGATACACCCTAATAATAGCACTAGCGACTCCTCAAGTAAGCGTGGTTCCATCTTCAACCCTACCCCCATTGTCATCGTCATTATAGCCTGCACTCATATTACTGGAGTTGGGGGAACAACACAAGTGGTGTCATAACAGCGATATTCATTGCTCTATTTGCGTTGTTAAATGTACCCAACATTTCCTCATTGCTGTTTAAAATCATGGAACAACATCTGAGTCCTGACCCGAAAGCATCACCTGCCATTGATTCTGGAACGATGTTGTATGAGTGGCTTACATACCGGCCGGATACCAACGGCATGCACTTTAGAATCAATCTTCACAGTATTGAAGATATATTACGATATGTCATAGGATAGGATACACATATGCTTGGTTTATGTTCTGTGATGAATTCTTTGAACCATCGAATACAATAGCAGGAGCATCTGATGCCAGTACCAAAAAAGGACGGCAGCCGAACGCACATAGTTTAAGAAGTTAGAGGCGATGGTGTATTTGTTTTTCCATACTAAGAATAGGAACAACTGGGTGACGCTACCGATACTGTTCCGCACTGATGGCCTATGGAATCCATAGTATGAAAGCTTTGCAAAAGAGGCAGAGCAGATGTTCATGGATCCTGAGGAGGAATATGGTAAGTCCGATTCCTACTGTAGTGATCACACATACCAAATGCATTAGAAGCGCCAACCGACAAATGCACAACCAAAGCAATATGAGCACAGCGACCTAGATATGCATTTGAGGGCAATGCTGACCAGGCAAATGTTATTAACATTTAGCGCTGCCACTTGCAAGCAGAGTATTTCAATTATGCTCGCTGCATCCGCTAGCCACTACACATTTCGATAGGTTGCTTCTCGATCACTCGCAAGTAGAATAGTTTGGCAACGTACTCAGCTCTGCCAGCTGCGCTGCCAGCTGCCTCATCATTGGTTGCTTTCAAATTCAGCAATGCAATCATAATGAAAACGAAAAGAGAGAGGCGGAATTATGAAAATCACTTTCGGTGACCAATTTTGTATAAATAGAGTTAAGACTTAGTAAATAAAACAGAATATGATTGACATGCATAAACCTCATCTATTCTCCTAATTCGGCAACTGCAAAGATGAAGAATGAATGAATGAAGAAGGCTGACTATAACTACACGAATAAAACCAGATAGGACCAACACACTAATTTTTACTAACACTAAATAAAACTCCACGTCAAACAGTGCGGACGTGTAAATTAATTTGGAAATAAACACCAAAAAACTTGTGTTTTCATAAAAGAATTTTTTAAAATTGACCTCGAGCCGGCAAAACACTAAATTAAATAAAACCAATAGTAATTGGTTGTGATGCAAACGCTCATCACACAATCTGGGGCAGTAGTGATATGAAGGATTTTTTTACCATGAATCTAAATCAATGAATGAACTATCCCAATAATATTTTGCAAAATTAATTACATTCTAGAGTGTGAATTTTTTCTTGGCCATGTTTGCCTGTGTATTACTTGAAAATATCAAAATTTTGTCTACTGCGAAGAAGTGCGGCGCAACCAAGAATCTAGCTATCGATGTCGTCATACTCGGAAGCATATCATTCAAATCGCACTTGGCATCTACAGAAACGGTTGACACTTTCATCAACTCTAAATCAATCTACAGAAAACTTTAATATACATATTATCGAGGGCTTATATTCAAATACCCTCTATCTGCACTTTTCACAAAAACGAGATTCTGATATAAGAATCCACCTAAGACTTAACTGTCACCGGTGATATTAATACTGACCTAGTACAACAATTAAAACGGAAGAATTTACTATTCAATTGGAAAGTCAGAGTTTACATTAGTGATGACAGGATTAGTAAGACAGGTAAGTAGTTTTTTGAAAATTGCAGATAGAGGGTATTGAATATATTATATGGTAGAACGTCGTCGGTTGCCATGTCTGCTGAAGAAATATCCACATTTACTATTAACGTTCCTCCAGTAATAGCAAACAACGTAATTCTAATCGAAAATACCCAATTATGATATTGGAATATGATATTTCATTTTCTAATTTTTTGTAAACAGTAATTCAATGTACGATTTCAACAATACAATTTTTCATAATACAAACTGGAAACTGTCGTCCAGGAAGTGGTTTTCAACCACGCACCAGTGTTCATGGTCCATATTTGTGAATGCGGTTTTGTTATATGCTAAATGTTCAAATTTTTGTTTCGATCTCCATTATGTCAGCTATCAACATATAAACGCACACCACAGTATATGTGGTAGTGGCGATTTAATGGAAAAAGAGCTCAAAAGGAATTATTTTTGTTTGTTGAATTATTTAAAACACTTCGGAAAAATTATCAATTCTTAGATTGTCTTTTTATTTCGATTTTTCTTTCACTTTTAAGGTTTAAGTGTGAAACAATTGATTTTTTTTTGCACTATATAAAAATTCGATTGCAAATAGCTTGTTAAGACTAAACAAATTAACAACACTTAGATTGTCTTATTGTTTTAGATTATTGAATTACTACTAACTACTACGCTAAATCAAACCAGTCATAATCGGTTGCGATGCAAACGCTCACCATACAATATGGGGCAGTAGTGATATAAGTGATTTTATTAACATGGATATGAATAAGTGAATGGACTATCCCAATAATGGCATAGCCACGCATGCACAGTGCATTTGGCATTAAGATGCAAGTGAAACAGTGGACTATTTTTACTGCTTCTTCGTAGGGCCTATTTAGTTATAGTGTCGATTCAGTTGTATATCAGGTTAAGTTATAATACCTAATGCATGTGTAGTACAACACAGATGTTTTAGGTATCCAAGTTTTTATTATAAAAGTTTTGCTATAAATAAAGGTTCTAGCATACCAGAGCGTGGACGTAAAATTTGTGAAATTTTTATAATTTTTTTTTCAAAGTTTGAAATTTTATTTACAAGTTAGATAAAGAGCTATAATTTAAAAAAAAAGATCTAATTGGGGATCAATCCCAATCAGCCGATTCTACGATTTCCGCCCCTGAAAAAGCTAAGGAAATTTAGCGAAACGTTGGGCATGAAGTGAAGAAATTTTAGTTTTACTTGCACTTGCGAACATTAGATCCACAAAGCCTATACAAAAACAAAATATTTAAACACAAGGGATCAGCACAAATAGTCGTTAAGGTGCTATCGTTTTGTCGCGGGATGTCTGAATACGTGCATAGTGTTTACTTTGAATAGGGGGGTTGAGTAGTCGCTAAATAAACGTGTCCCATCAGCAAAAATCCCACTACCACATGCAGACGCAGTTCAGACTCCAAGGCAACCGCGGCCCTCTTTATTGCAAATATCACCATCGTTTAACACAATGACGCGACAACTTAAGTTTTCCCAAGCACGGCCTGGCACAACGACTGCAGTAAATATTTTGGGGCTCGAGGCAGTCTGTGTGAAATTTTGCCGTATTTCTCTAGCAACGAAAACAAATCATGGGACGATTATTTCGACTGAATCTTGAAGCGTGGACGTAAAATTTGTGAAATTTTTATATTTTTTTTTTCAAAGTTTGAAATTTTATTTACAAGTTAGATAAAGAGCTATAATTTTAGAGAAAAAGAATGAACATTAAACAAACAAAAGGATACACGGGAACGTAGCCGATGCGTGGGAGGATCTAATTGGGGATTAATCCCAATTGGCCGATTCTTCGATTTCCGCCCCTGAAGAAGCTAAGGAAATTTAGCGAAACGTTGGGCATGAAGTGAAGAAATTTTAGTTTTACTTGCACTTGCGAACATTAGATCCACAAAGCCTATACAAAAAAAAAATATTTAAACACAAGGGATCAGCACAAATAAATAGTCGTTAAGGTGCTATCGTTTTGTCGCGGGCTGTATGAATACGTGAACCCGTTGAATAGGAAGGGTTTGAGTAGTCACTAAATAAACGTGTCCCATCAGCAAAAATCCCACTACCACATGCAGACGCAGTTCAGACTCCAAGACAACCGCGTCCCTCTTTATTGCAAATATCACCATCGTTTAACACAATGACGCGACAACTTAAGTTTTCCCAAGCACGGCCTGGCACAACGACTGCAGTAAATATTTTGGGGCTCGAGGCAGTCTGTGTGAAATTTTGCCGTATTTCTCTAGCAACGAAAACAAATCATGGGACGATTATTTCGACTGAATCTTTTGCATAGCCGAAAAAATATTCATGATTGTCGGCGATGAGGACGAGTAATGTGGCAACCATTCCAAATGAACGACCTACACATACGCCTGCCTGTACATACACACTAGCTTCCAAAATGAAATGTAGAACTAGCAAAATGAATACTTATTTATACGTATATATGTATGTACATAAACCTTAACTAACAAAATGAAATGTAAAAACTAAAGAAATAAATGGCACTGCGATTGTTACACAGCACAGACGTGCCTCTGAACGCTTAGTATTATTAACTCGATTCAAGTAGCTCTAATCAACTCCCTTTTGTATCATTTTTTTATTGAAGCCATTAAATCATCAGTGAAGTAAGAACTCAAATTATTTTATTTCCCATCGGATTAAATCGGTTTAAACCAATCATCACCCGTAAATGAACAATGCCTATTATAATTAGATGAGATGCAAACGCTCATCATATACTGTGGGGTAGCAGCGATACCAACACTTTCATTGAAGATATTTCGTTTAACACCACTAATTAAAAAAACTTCTGAGAGTACCGTGTGTTTGCAGGAGTACTATACTTGCAAGTATGCACTAAAGACCGCATCAAAGGTCGCCGATAATATGGATCTTAATTAGAGTTAATGTGTCGGTTTACCTATAAACCGTATGCATTACCCCATCGATTAAGATCGTACAGCTACGGTTATTATTATTTTCGTTATTGCATCGAATATACCTAGAAACCAAAAAAAGAATTATACAGATATAAAGCCATATTGATCTGTTCACCAAACAACCTGGACTTAACTCCTATAGAAAGACAAACGCAAACGCACACCACTCACTCTGGGGTAGTAGTGATATTTGCTATGTATTTTTGAAGCAGTAAGGTTGAGTCACTAAAAATATACCCCTAATTTGTAATTGCATTTATGCTACACCAAATATATACTGTAGCATGACAGCTAAGCAAAACAAAATGTTCACACAATATTAAGTAAAAAGTTCAATATACTTTTGGCAATAACTAGGCCAAAGTACTCAAATCAATTTAGCTTGCGCTGCACTTCTCCAATAACATAAACTCGATTGAACCCATATACATTTATGTATGCATGCACAACAACGTAGAATCATAAGCATGACTAACAACTTAGAAATGTAAGTTTGTAAATTAGATTACTCATAAGGTAGATTGTAAGCATATAAAAGAACGGCGATGAGCCGAATAAAACATTCCCACTTTCAAGACTCAACGTTTTTACTTGCGTTTTACTTTTGGAATCATTGTGGGGCATTTTAATGCTCACCTAAATGCGGCTGTAGAGCTAAGAAAATACTAAACTCCTTACAATATTTACAATACTGAACAAATCCGAATCACGGTTGTAGCGACTCGTTAAGAAATAAATCAATATTCGGAAAATCGTCTTATTCAATACGAAACCGGCCTTTGCTCCAAACTTGTCAACTCGGGGACATTGCCGGTCAAATACTGTATTGTCTATACTGCCAGGCTAGTCAACATTGTGAAAATGTATTAACGGCTTGTTATTTAAAACCAAGCAAAAGACAACTTACTCCGTCACTATTATTGACACGACTTCATAAAAGGACGAAGGTTATTTATTTTTTTCTTTAAATATGCCCAGAAACTAAAGCAGGGGTTGTATATAAAGTCATTGGTCAGCTCAGGAAACATCGACCTAACTCCTATAGAAAATCGGCTTTCCAAAAGTATTCAAGTTTAAGTTTAATCGAAAGGCGTAAAACAATGTTTTATGCAACCACTAGTACCTACCAGAATTTCCATATTCCGCTCGAGCATCATAACAAGATCGGCAAGTGCTGTACAAATAGAAGCAGAGTTCAAACGTAGAGACAAGCAAAATTTTCTTACACACAACTACATAATATCGCGATACCCAGAGATAACTATACCATAGAACTTACACATAGTCAATGCAATGTATAATGTTAATTCTTGAGACAGAAAACTAAATGCAACAGAAAATTTTTTAGATAATGCAGTTGTATCATCTGCGGAATTGAAAATGTCAAGTTAGATTTAATAAAATCGAAAAAGGGAAAAAGGGAAAAGATAGCCCTGTGTCGCTTCTTGGAGAGGGTTTTCAACTAAGCTTGTTTCTTAAAAAAAAGTCTAGAGCTAAATGCTTTGGGAGGAAATTCAATGGGTGTTATGTTGTTTTGGTTGCAATCTATATCAAGATTGCATTGTAATTTTCGAAAATTCGACGGTCTTATGCCCGGTTGCACCAATTAATTTTAACAGTCAAATAAATTTTAAAATCGATTGGTGAAACTGGGGATAACTGTCAATCGCAACAAACCAAACTAAACTCATGATTCAATAATAATAATTTATTATTGAATCATGAACTAAACGAACGTATATGTACATGATTTTTTCATAAACGTTTACACGTTTTAAAGAAAGTTTTACGAATGTGAGTATGTTAATCAAATTTCAATAGTGGTATTCGCGCTTCTGTGTATTCGTTGTATCCTGCGTAAGTGTGCTGACTTCCAAAACGTCAATTGCTTTGCATACGTTCAAAGTATAATGTTCCATAACGCCGAAATACAAAATATTGGCGATGTATGCTTTTCCCAAACGCATCTGAATAGTTATCGAAATGCATCGCTGGAGCAATCAGCGCATCAGAAACAAAGGTTATGCTTCGTTTGTTATTGTTTACCATTGGTGTTTTAGAAATGGAAAATTCAGAAAAATTATTAATTGCTATATTGAATATTTAAAATATGCAATGTACATATATGGATGCAATGTGTCGCAACTCTGATATACAAACAGATTGAGTACTGCAATATAACAGTATCCAACAATTGTATTGCTACGTTTTGGAAGTCAGCCTGTAACTGGACGAGCGTGTGGTTGTAGTTGCATGTGTATTTGATGTACCGCTAGCAACAACAAATCACGCGCTCATGCAGTTACGATTACAAAACATACAACGAATACACATAAGAGCGAGTTCCGCTATTTATTACATGAATCGGTAAACTACCAGTTAACAGTAAAAGTAACTTTAAATACTTTGCATTGAATTTGATAACCATTTAAAAAAATTAATTAATATTTAGATCTAAATAAATGTTTTAACTCTATAGTATTTTAAATATATATCGTATTCTAGTGTCTCACAGCATCCGTTCATTTCTTTCCCAGACATGAATTTAAGTTACTTACTCCGTCTTTTTGCTTTAAAATAGCCGGGCAGACGTCAGATCTGAATTTACTCCGTCAGTGCTTTCTGATGCGCTTGCTGCTGTTTTAGAGAATCTAACTCGCTTTGAATGCATTCAAATTGGTTATATAATTGTAGTAATTCGTCGTGGTTCATCTCTAAATTAATATCTTCGCCAGTACCAGTTTTTAGCTGCAACATTGCCAAGGCACTTTTTTCACGTTGCTCACAATGCGAAGAAATCTCAACATTTAACTTCCATGCCACGTCTTGGATTTCATTTGATTCGTACCGTTCACAAGCCAAACTATTCATGATGGGCGTAGTTTGGCGCACCCACAGTCGTACTATCGCATCGATTTTCGCATCATCCTGAAGTTCGAGCTTTTCTCGTAATTCTGCATGCAAACGAGTTGGTTTTATAACAAATGTGGAAGTGCGTCGAAGAATGTAGGAAAATGTTTTAATCATAAGTAGAAAATCAGCACGTGGCACACCAACCAAGCGTTCTAATTCCTCCAAGGCATTTTCGGGCTCTATCACATCTTCGGTGACGGCGGGAGTCATTTGCCGATGTACAAAATTTAGTACAGTAGTGAAAGTGTCGTAAGGTATGGCATTTATAATTTTAAGGCCCTCTCGCGCTCTATGTGCAATAAAATGAATTGTTTTATTTAAAAATGCATACTAAATACCTCAAACTTAGATCTAAAAATATACTACAAAAAACTCGTATAGCACTCCCAACTTTTCAACGAAGAAATTTTTTCGGAGTCGTATTTCACACGAACGATGGGCGAATTTAACTACCTATAAAACTTAAATTATTTCATATTTAACCACTTACCTGTCTGTAATTTTTATCCAATTAGCAGCCATAACTCCGAAAACTTCGCGCGGAAGAAAATTTTAATGTTCACTACTCGACGCACAACGAAAAATTGATTTCTGCAGATGCGAGAAAAGCCGCCTGCGAAAATGCCGTTTGGTATATCAAAATGGCTTCGTTTGCGCTGAACAGTGCCGCCAACATCACACGGTATTGCCAACCATTTGTCTCACTGCAGGAAATATATTCAAATACGTCCGTATATTATTTTACATTATTTGAGTTTTAAAATTATAAAGAATGACAATTTTTATAATAACTATAAAACCCAACATGTATATGGGCTTGATTTTAAGAATTAAAATGCTCATCATAGTATTATAATATTCAAAGATTGAAATACCGGCAGCACTGGCGTCAATGGCGCTACCAACTATTGTTTGTTTTTATGCCTCAGCTGTTTACTCAACTTGACTGCGATTTTGTTATTTTTGAATAGCAGATTTTTATTATAAAAAACTTGAGAATGACGGCCACATTACGTTATCGAGGCGAAAAAAACAACCTTATTGAGATAGCAAAAAATTTAGACGCATTCAAAAAGGTGCCTGAGAAATATACAGAGGCAACGGAAATCGGTGGTACATGTAAGTAAATATTCGAATCTTGGTCCGTACTGAGTTCAATGTATCCTATTTGATCCCTTGCACAGTATCCTTGCTCAGTCGCCTGCTCATTATTTACCTCATATACAAGGAAGTATGCTATTACAGGGAAGCAAATCTCATATATCAATTTGAGCCGGACATTGACATGGACGATAAGGTACAAATGCACGTCGATATCACAGTGGCCATGCCATGTTCATGTAAGTTTTGTACAATCAGATTTCGTACATAATATTAAATTTTTAATCGTGGTTCTCCGCAGCTCTTTCGGGCGTCGATCTCATGGATGAAACACAACAGGATGTTTTTGCATACGGTACATTGCAACGTGAAGGTACCTGGTGGGCTTTGCCAGAAGAAGAACGACTACAATTCGAACGTATGCAACATATGAATACCTTTTTACGAGAGGAATATCATTCAGTTGCGGATATACTTTTTAAAGATATCATTAAAAACAATGAAGTGAATGTGAAGCCTTTGGAAAGTGCCAAATCACTGCCTGAAGAGCGTTACGATGCTTGCCGGCTGCATGGAACCTTGGGCATTAATAAGGTAAGTAGTGTGTTTAGTTAGGCAGCAATCAATGCACATTTTTGTCAAAACTGTTGGAATTGTAATTGATATGAAAATATCCTTTGGCCTGAACATTCCTAAAGTGCACATTAGCCACGGAACATTGGTGCTTGCTCTGTCAATTGGAGCATAATATTTTCATTAGAATGACATACTTTTTAGTTCTAGTTGAATTTCAATTCTAAGGTCTGGTTTCTCCAACTCGACTTAACTTAGTTAGCCATTTTTTTGACTTATTCATTTTCACCATCTAGGCTAAGCCAAAAGTTATAGTTTTCATCAGAATACGAAAAGAGGAAAGCGCGAAAATTATGAATCAGGAAATGCACTTAATGGAATGATTATATATAAAGTGTCTTCAGTAGGTAAATGTGTCATTAAATTTGTTGTATGCCCGAAAATTTCAGATTTTTCGAACGTTGAGCTTAACCGAGATTTTATCAATCTTGGTAATGGGATTCCATACTTTACTATACGGCGTAAAAACAAAAACAGAAATAAAAACAAATCAGTGTCGGTACGCTGTATACTGTCTTTATACGGTTTGAATATATTACGATCCTATAAAAGTATCGATACCAGTATTAAATGGGCATAGCAAATAAAATATCACGTGAAAAATAATAAAGTCACTAATCAGGAGATATAGTTAAATATAATTCTAGGATCAATATGGCATCTATGAAGTTGACATTGATATTGACCTTATTATGCTACACTAAGCGGTATCGAAAGAAAATACCCATATGAGTATCAATAGTATCGTAACCCTAGTATCGAACACCGAATTACCCAGTACCCAGTCTCGAAGATCCAGACAGTTCGAAAACGCCCTATCTAAGAACTTTTCAAGAACGTCCTACTTCAAAATTTGATTGAAGAACGACCTCTTTCAGAATTTGATTGAGAAACTCCCTATCAAGAACGTCCTACTTCAAAATTTGATTGAAGAACGACCTCTTTCAGAATTTGATTGAGAAACACTGTCTCATAATTTCGTTAAAAACCGATTTATCTCAGCTGAAAATAAATCTAAAATGTGATGAGATAGGGCGTTTTTTAATCGGCATCTGAGACAGGGCGTTTTTCAATCAAATTCTGAAATAAGGCATTATTCAATCAAATTCCGAAGTAGGGCGTTCTTGAAAAGTTTTCTGATAGGTCGATCAATCAGGTATCGATATGCAGTTTGAAAATTTCTATTAAAATCAGAACATTTAAATTGCATCCTTTTAGTCAAATTGCGAAGTTCTGATATTTTTAGGTGCTGAAATTGTACTTATCGTACTCGCGATGCGCAGACATACTATAGGTCTTCACACCTAGCAGTATTCGGTAACTCGATGTCCGGTCATTTTTTCTAATGTATTTTGTTTGTGTAAAATAGTGTAACACAAACAAAATACATGGGAAAAGATTACCGAACATCGAGTTACCGAGTACCAAGCTTTGGTTTGAAGACCCATACTGTTTGCTGTATTTGGCCAATTACTACGCGGTAAGCGAGTTGGAAGTGTAATTTTTGTTGTTGCGAGAGCCATTTTCTCAAAAAGAAAATTAATTTAGAAAGTGTTCTTGACTATTAATGATTTTATATTTTAGAAATCAAAAGTTATGCTTTCAAACAAAGCTCGTACTGCTTGCGAAAAAAAAGTAGAACGCTGGCGTATTGCATGCAGGTGAAGGCGGTGGATAAGCACACCTCTTGCTGAATGTAGATTTAAATCAGTTGGCAACGCAGAGTGATGCCACTTTTTCGGGCAGGTGAAATGTTGGTATTCGTAAGTTTTAGGTGCAATCCCGTATTCCTCGGACTCGGACTAGAAAACTGCAAAAAATAAAAATTCGTTCAGAGCGAGAGAGTAACATTGAAAAGTGGGGGATCGCTTTCTAGTAAAAAATGGTAACTTCTGTCAACTTCAACATAACCTCCAAATTTTCGTTGTAAATTTTTGCTTATTTTCAGCTCACACATGTAAATGACCAAAAATGCTTTCAAATTCATTAAAATCCACTTAAACAAGTAATTAAATACATTTCAACATGAATTAGCAGAGTGCACTTTTCTTTTGTTTACAATTTGGTTGCCAAACACACTACAGCTGATAGTTTGACGTATTTACCAGAATTTACCAGCAAAAAATTCTCGGACTAAAACTGGTAACTTCTGACAGAGAGAACCGTATTTACTCTTTTTTGTCCTCTCAATAGTCATAGAACCGAGTACGTGATCGATTTCTAGTAAAATCTGACTAATTCTGACGATTTCTGACTAGTCCGGACTCGTACGGGATCTCATAAATGGGATTAGTATGAATATAAAGATTTTTGTATTGCATTCGATAGTTCGTCGATTGTACTTTACTGTTCGTCCATTTTTAATGTTTATTCGTTAGTCATACAGTAATAATTAATTTTTCAATTCTTACTTTACGTTAAACATTATGCTAAACTAACAACGTAATGCTTAACGTAAAGGTAAAATTGAAAAATTAATTATTACTGTGTGGCTAACGAACAAACGTTAAAAATGGACGAACAGTAAAGAACAATCGACGAACTATCAATTGCAATACAAAAATCTTAATATGTGTATGTTCAACAACAATTTCATTACCTCACGTCTCCACCTTCTACTAAATGTGTCAACATCCATGAACGAAAGACACAAGATCACGTCTTCCCGAAAGAAAGAAAAGTTATTTTATAGCTATCGAAATCTCGACGCCATCTTTGTTGTAAGAAGTAAACAACGAAGAGAACGGAGAATCCCGCGAAATTGTTGAACGTATGAATAATCATTTTTATTATGCAAGTTCTTCTATAAATCATGCCGTTGTGTTAAATTATTCTTTATCTTATGTGTACACACGTTGTCACAGGCGAAAATAAAGAAAATTGCAGTAAAAATCCACCACCAAATTGTAAACAACGAAGAAATGTAAACAAACGGCTAATGTCAAAGTCGCTCAACTTTTTTCCTAAATGCGATTATAACGGGCTACTAAGAAGAAGGCGTGATCTTGTATTTTTGGTTCATGGTCAACATCTGTCAAATTTCTGTTTTAGCTTTGTCCAGTTTTCTCATGTGAGCAACTTGCTGTCTTAAAATATCACTTTCAAAATGACATCAAACCGATCAGATTAAGACAGCGATGGTAACAAATTCGGCAAGACATATATAGTTTACTGGTGAAATTTGCAGTCTTCACCTGACATTTCTGTCTTAACACAGCTTTTTTAACAGAGTCTGTAGAAGGAGGAGACCTGGAGTTGGGAAATAAACCAAAATGCTTTAATATCGTACAACTTCATTGAATTGTTTTTTTTGCTTTTTGTTTTTGAAACGTTAAAATCTTAAGATTATGTAAAGTGAACAAACCTAACCAAAAAAAGTAAATTAAAAATAATGAAAAAAACCTCTGCGCCCTAGGAGGACTTGAACCCGGATCTCTCGAGCGGCAGTCTAATGCTTTAACCACTCGGCCATTGCCACTGTTGGAGCGGCGCGGCGTGTGGTTTTCTCCACACATTTTTTGTGAACTTTATGTGGCTCCTACTGAATACCCAAATCTTCTCAAGTCACAAAAATAGTCACTACCGCCTATTTATTTTCATAGAGAAATCACCCGTTATCCACAAAAAACTGGTAGTCACGTAAAAGCTTAAACAGACGGCAGCGTTGATCCGGTTCAACACGGGAATTAACTGCAGTTGATCCGGATTAAGTCCGAATTAATCCGGATCAACGCTGCCGTCTGTTTAAGCTTTAAAAGATGGAGTAGATCGTGAAAAATTTCCATTTATAGTTAACTATAGTTATAAGTTTCTGTTTTAAAACATTAGTAGCGTATTCGACTATTCAAATCCAATTTACGCGATATCGTAGAAATCTCCGTTTCGTGGCTCAATAATTAAGTGGCAACAACTTATACACATCACAACAAAAAATTATTATAATTTTATATCATATGGCTACTCCAAAATCCAATCAAAAGGAAAGCTGCAAAGAAATGTTTGGTTAATTGTGTCGTAGCTGTTAGAATTTTACAATATAAAATATGTTTTATGCACATTTAATTTTGGCCAAGAAAGGCCCACTAGCAAGAGTGTGGTTGGCTGCACATTGGGATAAGAAAATAACAAAGGCGCATGTGTTTGAGACGAATATTGAGAAGTCCGTGGAGGGCATAATGCAACCAAAGGTAAAATTGGCGCTTCGCACATCGGGACATTTACTATTGGGCGTCGTTAGAATTTATTCAAGAAAAGCCAAATATTTGTTAGCGGATTGTAATGAAGCGTTTGTTAAGATTAAAATGGCCTTTAGGCCGGGAATGGTTGATCTACCCGAAGGTCACAGAGAAGCGAATGTTAACGCAATTACTCTACCAGAAGTATTTCATGACTTCGATACAGCGTTGCCCGAGTTGAATGACATTGATATTGAGGCACAATTTGCTATAAATCAATCCCGAGCTGATGAGATCACTATGCGCGAAGACTATGGCGGCAGTTTGTCGCTTTCCATCCACGACGACGGCTTTGGCGATATGGGCTTTGAAGGTGATACTCCTGATTTGATTCGTGGTCCGATTGATGCAAATATAGACGACCAGCTTTTCGGAGATGGCGGCATGGCAGACGTTACTCTAGTAGATGAACCTAAGATAACTTTGAACGACTCAGACTTGGCCAATTCCCGTTTGGACGGGGATGGTTTTGGAGATGAATTTGGACAACCTGAACTTTTTGAAGACGATCTATTTGCAGAGCCTCCATTAGACACCAGCGATAATAACCTGAAAGCTGCTATAGGTGCCGCACAAGAGTCAGATGACGATGGTATGGATCATATGGATATTAGACCGCCATCAGTGGCATCAAGTTGTGGGCATGTTTCTGAGGTACATGAAATTGAGAAAGAAACTCGTAAAGAAGAAGAAGCCAATGAGGCTATAGACAATGCGAAAGAAGATGAAAATCCTTTAGATCAATCAACTTTGCTGCAAAATGAAGACGAGAGCTTTGCTCTGGCTCCTGTAGATGCTTCTGCTTACAAAGGTGTGACGAAAGCTAAACGCAAACGTAAACTTATTGTAGACGAAGTTAAAAACATATCCGGCGAGGAAATGAAGGCGCAACTTGCAAACACTTCCGATATTGTGACGACATTAGACTTGGCTCCACCAACAAAGAGATTGACTTATTGGAAAGAAACTGGTGGTGTGGAAAAACTATTTTCTCTACCGTCTCGAACTATACCAGCACGCGCGCTATTTACGAACTATCATCGTCATTTACAATCACGCAATTCGGCACTGGAAGATTTCTCCATACTTGGACCATCAGATTTATTGGCTATAGAGCATATACAAAATGAGAATGATGCAAATATAATTAATAGCAAACGTGGGCGCAAACGAAAACATGAAATACCAGCCGTACAACAGAATATGGTGGACGTTACAGCACAGAGTCTTGCAGCACCCGAACCTGTACGCGAACACGAACAGAGTGCCGCTCAAGCTCAGTTCTCTTTGACCGACAATTTATTACCGCCCGCAGAGAACTTATTGTTTGATAATATGCGCAGTCCCAGTCGTATGTTAAGTATGACTGATATAAATGGTCTAGACAATTTAACGGCACTCCATGATTTACCTCTGACGCCGGGTAATATTCATCAGGGCATTGATGCATCCGATGACTTCAATCATGGTGATGCGACACCGGCAGGACTACATCATGGATATCAAACACCTCATCATTCCGGTATTGAAAACATAGAGAACCTACCCAATCTACCGCCGGATCAAGTGTCGTCTATATTGCAAGAAGCTGAAAACATGCCAATTATACAACAAGAAGCGCAACCAAACAAAACACAACGCACCAGTGATATATCAACTGATTGGAATGATTACGACTTACCACCACCACCGCCACACCCAGCTGAAGAGCAATTGGAGAATGAAACCGATGAACAATTTGAAGAGCGTGTACTCAATAAGAGAGCTGCCCAATTATTCTACACGGTCAAGTCGCGTTTACTCAAGCAGGATTGCCTAATATTGTCAGCATTAACTGTAAACAATACCAGGAAGCAGGCGGCACAGAAATTTTATTCGCTACTTGTGCTAAAAAAGTTTCGAGCACTCAACATTCAACAGACTCAGCCATATTCAGATATAGAGATATCACGAGGACCAATGTTTGAAAATCCGAAATTATAAAGCATGCACACGTTTATTTTCATTATTATTATTATTATTATTATTATGTATACTTTATGTAACGAATTCAAATTCGGTTTTAAATCGTAACTTTCAGTATGTAAATAATAAATTATTTTTATATAAATAAATATTATTGTATAAAAATTTAAGTTTAACTTTGTGATTGTAATTTTAATTTTTAAATACATATGTATAATTGTGGGTTTCACATGGGGCAATTTTACAGGCAACTTTTAGCTGAATGCAGCAGTTGCCTGATGCAAATGGCCTTTCAACTAAACGCTTTCAATGAAGTTGGTCAACTAATCGCCTGTGAAAGATAAATCATGTAAATTCCCTATAAGCGTTTTTGGGAAACAATGTCAAATGTTGTTGCATACAAATTCCCCCAAGATTTTTTGTCAATGGTAATTTATGTTGTTGTTGTAACAGCATACATATTTCCCAAAGATCTCGAATGCGTTGTTCCGGTTACGAAGACCCGACTGGCGTGGGAACGTTGCCAATGGTAATGTGGTTTTTGTAGGTAATCGGTATCATAGCTGCAACAAGCCTTAATTGACATTCTTTTGGAAGTGCTTCTTTTAGTCATTTCAAATTCGGCTAGTCTATAGTTGTCGTTTAGTTCAATTAGTTGTTCAGGTAAGCTCCTTGAACTAATTAGCAACTAAATTATTATTATTAAATGATATTGTTTGCAAATTATGTTTAAATATTTATTTTTAATAATTTTAATTTAAAATATAATTCAATCTATAACAGAAACCACAATAAGAAAGTTTCAAAGCTTGCAAGAATTTCCAAAAAATTAACCTAACTTCAAAAAATTTACATCAAAATTTTTAATTAGAATATTTAGATAATTTTTGGGTATGCAGTTCTGTAGTCCATTTAATTGTAGTCTAAGAAAGTTCAAGTCTCATGTCGTTAAGAATTACCGTTACTTTTTTAGAATTGTTTTTGTGGAGGGTGTCGCGCATTTTCTTGCATATAACACATGATCAAAAAAAAAAAAATCTAAAAAATCAACTGCAAAAACTAGCTACTTCAAACTTGCACCTTATTAGACTAAAATTTAATGGGCTACAAAACTGCATACACGAAAATTATGACGATAGAGCGATTTACAGATGCATTCGGTTACAAGTAGCCACCGCTCATTTATAGGCGAAATTGACTCGGTGACTGGGTTTTAAACGGTTTCATGAGCCTATGAGAAAGTTAATGTTGATTTGTAGGCTTCTGTTTATTCGATAGATAGTCATACAAACATTTGCATATTTACTGTCATACCCATTCGTTTTTTCTGTTAAATTGTATGTGCACAAAAATTTAAGGTCGCTGGTGTCCTGCACTTAGTTGGCGGAGCGCAACCGTTTGTGGGTCTCTTTGAAGATCACTGGACAATCGATTTTCGGCGAACATCAGCCAATTTCACTCATCGCATCAATCGCCTGAGTTTCGGACAATATTCGCGCCGGATAGTACAGCCATTGGAGGGAGATGAAACTGTGGTAGTAGATGAAGAGACGACAGTTCAGTATTTCTTAAAAATCGTACCAACCGAAATTCACAACACTTTCACGACCATCAATACGTACCAGTATTCGGTAACGGAGAATGTGCGTCAACTAGGTACCCCTCTGATCTGTCGCCAATTTAAGCAATGAACACATTAAGCATTTTTAAACTATCTTTTAGATTCAATCAAGAACTCATATGGCTCTCCTGGCATTTACTTCAAGTACGATTGGTCGGCTTTGAAGATCATCGTGCGCACCGATCGCGATAATCTCCTGCAATTCATAGTTCGTTTGTGCTCAATAATTGCTGGTATTATCGTTATTTCAGGTAATACAGTTCGATATCAAAGTATGATAAAAGTTCTTTAATATTTCAACTCATGGTTTACAGGCATTTTAAACTCTTTGCTGGTGTCACTGCAGCGTGCAACCATTAACACATTAGCGCCGCAACTTTTACAGCACTCAAAGCAAAAGCGTGCATCGTTCCATGGGGACACAGGCTCCGAGATTCCTATTGCCGCAAATGTGAGCTTACTAAGTGCGCAGCCCGCAAGCCCGAATAATCTCATCAATATGGCGAACAGCATGTCGAACAGTGTAAGCCTACTGAGTGCAAGCATTGCACCCACGACCAGCGACGCTACGACCTACGTGCCCATAGCTGTGGATGAACCGCCGCAAGCGAAGTAGTGCATTCGCACATTAATTTTATTTTAATATAGTCGATGATAACGCCAATAATGGATTAACCAACTGCTTGAATCTCTACTGATCGCCGTTTGCCTGCATTTATATTAATTATGTATGCTGAAAGCGTGAGGTTTATTAGCGCTTTTTAAAACAAAAGTTAATAATTGTAAAGAATTAATTCATCTCGTTTATTAGTAAAATATACTTACGAGTATTTCATGTGTACATTACTGCTTTTAATCTGAAAATTATTTACTTAGTTCTTAACTAATAAACATTCCACAGTTTAATCAAAATAATAAAATATATATTTCTTTATAGTACCTAAATGCATATACAATACATTAAAATGTATGTAGGCACAGATGTACAAGCGTGTGAAAAATAATAGGGACACGATATTTTGACCAGTTTTGACTATTATTTTTCTTTTATTTGTTTAATATTTATTATTATTTTTATACAAATACAGCTCTAACATAAACCATATATGTCCAAATTTCAAACTTTGTAAAAAAATTTGAAGAATACAACAAAGTTTTACAACAACCGCAAATTTTTCATTAAGAGTTTTTAGAAATGTTGTGTCCCTATTATTTGTCACATGACTGTATGTGCGTACGTATGTATGGAAATATACTATACATCAATACCATGCAGAAAAAAAAATTATTAGTTGATAAAAAACAACAACTTGTTTCGGGATTTCGCTTAAATATATAACTTTTAGTTAACTATGCAAGGCTAACTAAGCTAGTTGAAAAGTAATGCAGGAGTCGTGCTGACGTAATCGGGTGTTTACTTTCTTTTTAAAAAAGTTTCTATTTAAATATCCTCATACAAATTTTACTTGAATACACTTTTTTCTGAACTTCGCAAATACTTTTTCGAATTCAGGGCAAATAAAATTAAGATCGAAATTTTATCAATTTGAAGTTATGTATATCTGACGGAGTTCGAATATTTAATGTTAAAATAAACAAGTAAAAAGATTAAAAAAAAAAAATTGTTTTCATATTGATATTTCATGTCCAAAAGTAAGTTAGTTGACACCAAATAGAGATGTAACCCTTGAATATTTCGCGGCCATCGCCGTACATATACAGTCAGTTTCAAATGTAAGTATACACCGTGTTCTAATATAATCAGCCTCATTGTAATTGGGCTAAATTGTATAACGCGACAACATTGGCATTGTCTACTGTCGTGCTGAAATAAATAAACTACGAAAATCGTCGAAAACTGTGCAGTGCTGCCAAGTTTTTCCGTTTTAATATACTTATCGATTGGAAATTTTAAGCAATGACGTGAAATTGTCGATACGATTCGACTCTCGAAAAACGACATGCATTCGACACGGCTCTCGCAATGAGGCTGAAGATTCATAATTATTTTAAAAACATTTTTTTTTTTTTTTATAATTATTTATGAAAATATAGTTCAAAATTTTCATTCAAAAAATCTAGAAAATTTTCGAGTATGCAGTTTTGTAGCCCGTTCAATTTTACACGTGATCAAAATCATTTTTATATGAAAAAATGCGCAACACCCTCCACAAAAAAGATTCTTAAAAATCAAGCGTGTTTAGCAACTTGAAACTTGCAGTTTGTTTTGCTAAACTTGAATGATCTACAAACTGCAAACTCGAAAATTTTCTGGAAATTCTAAATACAAATTTTGAAATTTTGATGAAAATTGTGTGAATTTTCGTGAACCTTATATAAAGTGTGATCCTTTGTTTGTGTGTGATTGTTTATTTTATAGAATGAACTATATTTTTATAAATAATTTATGAAACAAATTTTCATGAAAATAATTCTGAGTATTATATTAGAACAAGGTGCACACTTACATTTGACCCTGACTGTATAATTAGCTTTCCTTAAAGAAAATATACACATAATAGTTATATTTAGTACCCTCCTAATCAACTTCAAGTTAACTTATAAATATCTAGATACATTTTCTGCAGGGTAGTCTCTATATTTACACACTGGCGGTCAAAACTGGGTGAATGGCGTTTTTCCTTTTATATTTACAATGTTTTTCAAGCTATAATGTTTTTTTTTTGTTATTTTTTTAAAACAATATTTTTCTTTCATTAACCAAAACTAAAAAGATCAAACTTTTTTTCAGAATTTAGAACAATTCAACAAATTTTCATCAAAATTTTGAACTTTTTAATCGTTTTAATAATAACATGTTTGATCTTTAAAATTTAGTGAAAAATAGTCATTCAAAAACTGATAAATTTAAAAAATCATATTTTCTGGCCTAAAATGACAAGTCGCGACCTCTAAATGACTTTGAAAATATTTATAAAAATAGGCAATAATGTTTCTCATAAAAAGGAGGGAAATTAGGGGGTAGAGTCTTGAAATTTCAAAAAAAAAATCAATGGGGGCCCCAATATATAGTTTTGGTTAAAAACCCCTATAGATATTTAAAAAAAATCATTCATCCCGTTTTGACCGGCAGTGTATGTACATTATGTATTAATTTTTCAACGTTTCAAATAAATCCGTCTTTATATTGGCAAAACTTCCGCTGCGTTTGTAACCGCAAATGCTTTTCAAAATCTCCAAACTCGATGCGATGGTCGTCTGTACATCATGTTCGCTGCCCAAGCTAGGATTCAATTCCACCAAATCAATGCCCTGTACTCGATTTGTGTCCCGTAATGCCTCCACAACCGAAATGCCCTCACGTAGCGTCAGTCCAGCACAAACTGCAGTTCCGGTACTGGGCGCCACCGACTTATCCAATGCATCAACATCGAAGCTAACATGAATCTTATTTTGCGGTTTCAGCGAATCTAGTGTACGCTCGATAATTTTCGAAATGCCATACTTATCCACAGACTGAAACGGAATAAAAAACTCAAGAACTATAAGTGGAGCTGAAAATGAAATGATAGGTCAAAATTAAAAAAAAAAAAAGTAAAAACCCAAATGAACCACAGCTATTTTTAAGCAGTGTAGCTAAGTAATATCCGATAAAAACCCATTTAGTTGAATACCATTTCCACTAAGGCGATTCGACGCTGCCGTTGTCCTAGTTATGCAGTTACAGTTGGACGGCTATACTAAATTCCGACTCCCGCGTTCTCGTTCGCGCACACCCATGTGCGAGATACGGTAACCAATCCGAGTGGAGCCTTGAGTCACGGCATAAAAAGAGAGCGAGCTTCGGTGGGGCCACTCCGACTTATTCGGTTTAAGGGCTCACTGGAGTCTGCAACGTCTATTCGCCATGAGGTGCGGTTGGAAGCGGGCGTCTGTCTTGGAGCAAGCGGGGCGCTACATAAACGTGCATTCGGTTGAGAAACCACGCCTGCCAGCAATGCGCCGGGCTCCAATGAAAAGACAAAAGAATCCTCGGAATATTGGCCCCCCCAACGTGGACGACCCTCGTAAACTAAACAAGGACCACGATTTGCGGAATGACTGAACCCTCTATAGGGAAGGTGTCTATATCCACCTGCTAGATTTCAAAACAAAATACCAGGTGGGCATGACCGCAGTTCAGGAAATGCGTTGCACGGGGCATGGCTGCAAAAAAAAAAAATGCAGCATGCGATTTCTACTACACCTGGCATGAGACGGCGCACAAATTCGGTATGGGATTTGTGGTTGGGCGGAGACTCCGATGCCTTGTATCCAGGTTCACCCCCATCAGTTAGCGAACTTCCACAATCTGCATAAAGGCAAAATTTAACAACTTCAGGCTAATTTGACGCTGGACTAAGGGGCTTTTCTATGAGCGCGTAGGAGAAGCGTAGGAGCGCTACCCCCGCCACACCACTCCCGACAACGGTGATAGGCTGATCGACTTCAGCGCGGCACGGAACATCGTAGTTAGTAGTACCAGATACCAGCATTGAAACATCCACAAAGCCACTTGGGTTTAACCTGCTCAATGAACGAAGAACCAAATTGATCATGTTGTGATAGACGGAATATACCCTTCGAGCGGTCTTGGCGTGCGTTCTATCTTTTTATCTTTTTTTTACTATTTTTATTTTTTTTCTATCTTTTTATTTTAAATTGCCCCGGAAGTTTGCTTTTAGTCCCTAGCTCTTTTTTAGCCCTTTTAAATTTGAAACAGCCCTTTGGAAAATTCTTAACTTAATTTTAAAAATTAAATTTTTAAATTCATTTCACATTTCCAACTGAAAGAGTGATTATAGCAAAAATTGAAATTGGCCGCTTTTATTAAATTTGTCAAAAGTTTAACATTTTCTGTCCGATTTGGGCGCCCTTATGCTTCACATTTTCTTTATAAAACTGTCCTTCGGCCTAACTTAACATTTTTTTTACAAAGATGATCAACTGAAAGGAGTGAATGAAAATAAATAATTTTGGAAAGGTATCCAAAGAAGTTTAGTTTCATTCGGTTTTCTGGAGCTTTTTTAAATCTCGAAAACGCTTCTTTAGTGTAAGTGTAATTAATGAATTCGTAATGTACCTATATATTTTTTATATTTTCTTTTTACTAGTTTTAAGCTCAGAATGTTTGTTTAGAATGGAAAATGTATGTGCCCATGTACCTAAATAAATAAAATTTTGGAAATTCGTTCTAAAATAAACGAAAAAATCTTTATTCGATGAATAATGAAAGTAGCCCTTTTCTTAGCTCAAAATTTTTTTATTCAGCCATTTTTTCTGGGGTTTTTAGCTCTTAATGAATATTTATTTCTGGCAACACTGGGTAACACGCACGACAATTGAGCGAAAGCGGGTACATATGAGGTAAGAGAGACGCCTTTTTAAGAGAAAGAAAAGAGAGACAGAAAGGCGTAAATGCGAAGAGCTTGAGATGCTGGCAGGCAAGAATGCGGCTCGAAAATTCTATCAGAAAATAAGGCGGAAATCAAAGGGTTTTAAAACCGGGGCTAGCTCCTAAAAACATGAAAATGGAAATCTGGTAACTGTTTTCCAGAGTTCACTTCAGATATGGAGGGACACTTCTCAACGGTTTTGGAAGGGCGACACAGTTGGCGCGTTTGATGAAGGAGAACCCGAAGCAATGTATATGGACGAAGCTCACGTCTCTCTACTCGGCCAAGACGAGGTGAGAACAGCAATAAGGCGGCTTAAGAACAACAAGGGACCCAGAGCCGGTGGTATACCGGCTGAGCTGTTCAAAGCCGGCGACGAAGAGTTGGTAGGGCGCATGTACCAGCAGAATTTGGTCTGATGAATACATGCTTGAAGACTGGAATCTCGGTGTACTTTGTCCATTCCACAAGAAGGGAGATCGCGCCGCAAATATTTTTCAATATTTCCGCTAGAAACTGTTCCTTATAGGCTTTAACAAAAATATATTCCGATTCGTGCTGATTAGTTTTGACTCTGTACATTAAAGAACCCTACATGGAAACTGATGAAATTGTGACCGCTCAAGGCAAAGAAATGATATCATTTTCACAAAAAAAAAAAAATCATTCAAATTTTTCAATGCAACGATTTTCACGTCTCATAAATAAAATGACAAATATAGTAAGGCAGCTACGGAAAGTGCAAGGCATTTGTGCTGCGCCGCGCCACCCCTCCAGTCACCATACAGTGGCAAATAAGGCAAAAGGGAACATTTCAAATGGTCTGCAAAATGCACTGAACTGCATATGAGTGCGTACATTTATAAATACATACATACATGCATACATATGCACATACTTAAAGGCCTGAATGTACTTTATGATTTAGAGTCTATACGCATGTCCCTTTGCGACTTCGTGCACCATGCCACCAATTCAGTTCATTCCCCTTTTGACGCACGTTGTAAAAATTAATGTCCTTGCACATAACACCGCCGGATACCGCGCACCCTAGGCGTATACAAAATTGTGCTTATACATAAATATGTATGTATATACATATGTACATATATACACACATCTGTGTATACACTTGTATGCATGCGTAAGTATTTTGCACCCTACGCCCTGCGTTCATTACAACCGCCTCAATATTGGCACGGGGGTTGTTTCGAGCACCTCGCACAAGCACACATACACACACATGCACACTCACGAAAGGAGGATATCAATGATCACTGCAATGACTGCAGTGGGTTATGGGTAAATTGATCCTGTTCCTGCTGTTGTCGCCGTCGTCTTCGCCGTCGCTGTTCCATTGGCAGTGAAAGTAACAACGACGTCAAACAAGTTTTGTAACAACATAAATAAATATTACAGGCATACACACACACACACGGTTAGTCACGGAAATACATATGATCGCAGGCGAGTAGCCGTCAAGCAAGCTAATAGCACAGTGGGCTAAGTCAAAAGTGGGATGTAGTCGAATCGGAATTTCAACAAAATATTCAAGGCAAATCCATTTAATCGTAAATGAGTTGAGGCTAGCTCGAGCTCCTTTACAATTTGGGTGCGTTGTACTTATTTTTTTGAGGAAAGTTGTAAATTGGTCACTGTGCAAATCTAGCCCGCAAATTTATTCGTATTTATATTTGTGTGCACATATACATCTATGCACATGTGTGTTTTTAAACTACACACACATATGTATGTATTTGAGTATACTTACATCCATAGCAAACGCTCGTATGCCCAATTTATTCAGGATATATGCTTCGTACGGGTCAATGTCCCTCAAGCCAATGTAGACAAGCTGATCGGCGGCTAAGCTGTAGGCGAAAATCAAGCAAAATGAATTAATAAATGATGTATTAAAATTATTTCTACTCGTTTGTATGNAAATCGGGAATTTTATACTCTCACCCCCTAGGATTGTTCTATACCGAAAAAGTATACCCCTATTTTTTTTATTTTGAAATCAAAAATTTTTTTAGAGGTCGCTCAAAGCGCCCAAAGGTTTCCATGTATTTTATATGGGGAAAAAACAACGTTTCGTAGAAGTGGTATAGAATTCTTGAAAATCAATATTTTTTATCGGTAAACTCTGTTTCTCTTCAAGAGATCCCCAATAATAGTACCCCAAATATTAATTTAACCATTTTTCATAGTAACTATATTTTATAGGTCCGCCAAAAGCCCCAGAAAATGCCAGAAAATACAATAGGGGGAATAAATAACAAATCTTTAGTGATAAAAAATGGTTAAATAAACAATTGGGTATTGTTATTGGAAGTCTCCTGAAGAGAACCACAGTTTTCCGATCGAAAAGTATTGATTTTCAAGAATTGTTGTACCACTTCTACGAAAAGTGGTTTTTTCCCATATAAAATACATGGATAACCTTAAGCGCTTTGAGCGACCTCTAAATACATTTTTTATTTTAAAATAAAAAATAGGGGTATACTTTTTTCGATATAGAACAATCCTTTTTTTTTTGGATCATCCTAATGTACATAGATATGTATGTTTACCGTTTTTTTTTAATGCAATAAACTGGGCCACACCACCAGCAAAAAAAAAATCGCCAAAAATCAACAGTAAATTCTAGCTACGTGTACTAAAAACTGCATCTCAAGATCTAAGTAATTAAAAGGCTTGAAGTTTTTACAAAAGTGTTGAATTTTTTTCGTCGCCAAACCGCTTTGAAATTCGGTGCAATGGTTCGAATCACTTAGCAAAACGTGTACCGGTACAAGAACCGGCTCATTAGTATCTCTCTTCCAAATATCTCAAATATATGTCAAATACTATATGTGTATGTATATTAGGGCGGGTATTTTTATTTACTATGCGCGTATAGCATAGGAGTATTCTACGTGTAGTTGTAAGCAAATTTGCCGAAAAAGCTATGGGTCTAAAATTAATTTGCAGTTTGCCAAATTGCGAAAAAAGGTTTCGAACAAAATGGGAAAATGTTTACTGTTGCGCCCTCTAGTGGAACTTTTTAGAAAAAGATAAGTGCAGAAACGGATTCTTCATATCAAAAAACTCCTTATAGCATGTTTCTATAGAAAATTTAGGTACTTCTTTACGACACTACAGCAAAATGCTAAGAGACCTACTTTCGCAATTTACAAACTCGAAATTGATTTTTGGTTCAAGATTTCTTCCGAAAATTTGCTTAGAATTACATGTAGAATCCTTCTGTGCTATACGCGCATAGTCGAAAAAAATCTTACATAGAAATTGGCCCGCCCTAATGTACATATGTACATACATATATAACAAGTAATTTTTTAAGCAAACAAGTAAATTTAAGCAAAAAACAAAACCGACTTCAATTCCCATAAAAAAAATTTACGATTATCGTTAATTTATTCAAGATCCAATGAACGGATCTAACCCAAATGTAGTGTAGTATGGGTCCACCTGTGAGGTAACACCTTTCCTTTAAAAAAAGAATTATTGAAATCGGTTAACGTGGTCCAAAGTTATGCGGCAACATACATAAAAAAATATATATTCCGACGAATTTATAAACTTCTCGTTCTGTGAAGTCAGTTAAAAAATACCGACATCAATGCTCATATAAAGTTTAGGAATACTCCTAGTTTCTTCGTGATCCAATTAGTATGGGACCACCCTTGACGTACCATATTTCCGAACTATCTAAAACGGTTCACGTGATCCGAAGTTATTCGCTAACATCTATATATAAAAAAAAGAATTCCGAGAATTGATAAACTCCTCATTTTTTCAAGTCGGTTAAAAACAAAAGCCTTTGCTATTGAGATCAAATTCAAACACGTACACATGATATTTATCAAAACTTTGCTTTGTTAATAACAAAAATTATTATTTCAAAGATCTTTTGGTAATCAACTGGATTCCATACTTGAAGAAGTGAGTTCAGAAGGCACTATTGTTAAAGTGGTTTATAACTTTTTTTCAAATGCACAGTAAGGCGAAGTAAAAAAATATGCCCCGAAAAATTGTTTTTGGACCACTCCAATATATGCATATGTAAGTAGTTTTTATCGAGTCTATTTTCGATATACGGTCGCCCCTCTGCAGGCATGACAACCCTCCAAGTGGAGGACAAAATCGACAGTTCGTATGCGAGTGACCATAGCAGGTATAGACAGTGGTTACGAAAATTCAACTGCAGTTCAGAGACAGCGGATTGTGTAATGGTTTCAAGGCGCACACCGGAAACTGTAGGAGAATCTCGGCCTAAAACCTTGCAAAAATGTGAGTGCCAATTATTAAATACATATATCTGAATGTATACATATGTACATACCCAATTTGCCAAACGACTTTGCGACGACGTCGTTTCCGACTCGTTCTGGTGAACAATTTGAGAAATGAATTCGATTTGACGTCATTTCGAATTCACCAAAACGACATCATCAGACCGACGTCGTAACTACTTCGATTCTATGAGGAAAAAACGACGTCGGAACGATTGTCGATTGTGGATTGTATGGAAAAAACGACTTCGTTTCGACGTCGTTTCGAGTTCACCCAAACGACTTCACCAGACCGACGTCGTAATGGCGTCGTTTCGAACTCGTCCTCGCTCTGTGGCAAATTGGTTGGGTTGTATATGTATTATCGATATCGGAAGGGTTGTAGAAATCATTATCGTTGTTATTGTAAAAGTTTTAATCGATAGTGAATAAGCTCAACTTTTCATTTAACTCAATCTGAGTTTTGTTAAAATCTCAAAACTGCCTAAAGATATCAGGTCATTAAGCTTAAACTTTAGCAAATTACTATCTCACAGTCAGTATTTTAATATCTATGTAGTATGTATTGTGTAAAAATGTCCTTGACACTTTGAGGTTAAAATAATTTTTTTTTTGTGAGCTTACATACATACGTCACTTTCCTTGCTACACAGCTGACATTTTAGGCCAAGCTAGTTGCCCACGTACATACATAAGGACATAAAAACCAAATGTGCACATTGTTGAAAACTTTCGGAACACATGGCACGATCTACGATCACCATTACTCGATCAGTGGGCAACGCCTAAACGACAAAACTGAATCATTTGCATAAAGGCTGCGAGTCAATCGAAAGCACCCCGCTGAGAACTGTGTGTTTAGAAAATGGAAAATTAAAAAAATAATACAAAAAACGGCTGGAATCCTTGTAAAAGGATATTTGTGTGTATGTGTATGATAGACACCTAATCCTACACATGTATGCGTGCATGGATGTAAGCACGCATGGCAAGTCGAGCAACGTTTCAAGGGTCCTTAATTTTCCAGCACAGCGACTCGCGACACGCTAACTGCTTGGCTGGCTGGCAGTTGGCCGCTGCTTTTATGTCACATTACAAACAATATTCAGTGACTCAAACAATTGACCATGTGTCGATTTTTTTTTTTTTTTATATTCGTAATGTGTTTCGAGCTAAGTTTTTTTTTATTTTCTATAAGAATACCGTCCAAGCTTTAATCGAAAACATATAAATCACAGTTCCAAACTTTACGCAAAATTTAGGAAAACTCAACAAATTTTCATCAAAATTTCAACCTTTTAATCTGAATCTTTACAACATTTTTTGGTATGCAATTTATAGCCCATACAATTTTAGCATAATGAAGTGCAAGTTTCAACCGGCTAAAAAATCGCGTTGATTTTTGAAAAAATTTTTTTTTCGGAGACTGCTTTTGCGGTCTCAAGATTCAGATTAAAAAGTTGAAATTTTGCTGAAAACTTGTTGAATCTTCCTAAATTTTTTATTAAGTTTGAAACTGTGATTTATATGGTTAAGGTTGAAGCTTACACGGTATTTTTTAGAAAAATAACAACAAAAAAATTAGCTCGAATATTAAAAAAAAATCAACACTCCGTCATTTGTTTGAGTCACTGTATGTACATATGTATGTATGTATAGATGTATGTATTTTCAATGCAACCGCACTGGCCAGCGTTGGCTGTACCACCACCCAATTTTGTCCACCCTGTAAGTGTTTAAGCGGCGCTCGTTCAGGCGAGCAACGTTGAAAGTGCATTTCATATTAGTTTCTATGCCACACAACTACACATTACGAGTATTAGAATTTTGGTTTTAGAGGAAAAAGCCAAAGGGGTGCTTCCACATACATACATACATACATACATATGTACATGTATGTATGTATGTCCTTATGGTGCATTTTATTGAAAGTAGTTTTGCTGTTGTAAAGGTCTTACAATAATCGGCTGACTTTTCAGGTTTTGGCGGTTTACTAGCCTGCAGATACACATCCATATGTACAATGTACTACATACATAAATACGTACAATATTAGTGTTTATTTTCTCTAGATTTGCATAAGTTAAGGGTGTGTTTGCCATTTGCATTTCTTTGTTTTATATCTTATCTCGTCGCTTTAAAAATTAGAACCCAGGCGGCATTCTACGCTTTATTAGAAAAATATCCAACTAAATATCCAACTTAAAAATTTAAATGAACACGAATATAAAAAAGCGATGGGGATAATGACATCGATAAAAATCGATATTATAGTTAGTAATCTTCATTATTTTTTATGAAAGTGTAGCTCGTTATCTAACAAAAACCATTTTATAACTTTTATTATAAAAATTACTCTTTAATGAATATTTACTGAGTTATATTTTTTGCTCAGAAAATCATCGTTTTTTTTAAATTTATTTTATGCTCGGAAAATAATCGTTTTCTTGAGTTTTAATTTTTTTCTGAAAATAGAATTTAATTTTTGGTTTATTTTTTTGCCTTGAAAGCAAAAGTAGCTTTTGGTTAAATAATGGATTAAGGTTGAAAGGCTTTGTCTTTGTTGTTGTTGTTTAAGCTGTGCCATTGTTTGAAAAAAAAACACCCAAACATAACGAAATAACGATTATTTGCGGAGCAACGAATAAAACTCAAAAATAATTATTGAACATGATTCTGTTAAATAACAAGTAATTTTAAAACAAAAAAAAAACCGACTTCAGCTATCATAAAAAATTTAAGAGTACCGTTAATTTGTTCGTGATCCAATGATCGGATTTAAACCAAATTCTAAACCATTTTGAGCAATATTTTGTCACTTTTTTACCGAAAACATGTTTTTTTTCAAATTTTCACAAAATTCAACGATATATTCAGATTTTCAGAGAATAACTTAATCAGAAACCCCTAATTTTTAGGCAAAGTTTTGATTTGAAAATGTTGTATGGGGGCATGAGCCAAATCGGCAAAACGGGTGACAGCATTGAATTTAGCGTACCTAACCAAATTATGCTGGATTTACATTAGGCATTAAAAGGCAAAAATTTTAATGAAAAACTCGGGCATAAAAAAATATTTTTGTAATTACCATTAAAGTCATTTCCACATGCAATTTTTTAAATGCCTCCAATTTTTTGCCATTTTAATGCCTAGTGGTAATTCGTGAAATTATAAAGGATTTTCTTTTGTGGTTTTACTTTCAAACATAGTATAATATTTACATACAAATATATATATATATGTACATATGTATGTATATGCAAGTGTCCACCCTTTCTTGTCATCATATTCCTGACCTATACTACCTTGACTCATGTTACTACTATGCTTATTGTCTTTGGTTCTATATTTCCGTCTTCCCTTATATTTGTTTGTTAGTGCCAAAGGCATGTAAGATACCGTGGAATGGCATAAAAGGAGGTTACAAGGATTCATGTATTGAACATTCACAAAAAAAGAAAAATAAAGTCTTGCTGTGGATTAGAGTGGGCTATTTTGCTTTTGTTTAATAGGCGGATTCTTTTGCCAGATACCAACAGGGTTGCTTAAGTAGCTAAAAGGAAGTTTTACCCGAGTTGGCCGTTCTTTTACCGTTCGTTTATAAAGAAACGAAGGTAATATTATATAATAAAAGTCGAAAAAAAGAAACTGCAAAAAGGCTCATACATGTATGTACATACATATAAGTTAGTCCGAAAATTTCACAAAATATCATAAACATGTATTTTCTTCAAAACTGTTTAAATGGTGTTTTAACTAATCTTATTAAATATGTACATATATTGAGTGTCATTTCGAAGTCTACTTAAAAGTCCATCGATGAATTTAAAACTCTTGGCCTTTGTTTTAAAATACGATCCTCGTGTGACCACTTGTTATTTGCACATATACATATATGTGCATATACATATGTAAGGATGTAGTAGGTATCTACATAACACGTACATATGTATGTACATATATATATCAACTGCAAAAGCACCACACCGTGTGAATTCGCTCTTCGTGATGATGCTGTGATTCTTGTTGTTGTCTTCAATGTGAAATGTCGCCACTTGGTCTACTAAAATCATTTTATTTAAGTACTGCGGCACAAAAAATTCATATACATATATACATATATGTATGTACGTACATATGTATGTTTTCACAAGCAGCTGCATAAGTGAGGAAACGGAAGCTATGAGTACGTCGTACGTGTACTTGTAATGTTTTACGTCGTTTTGTGTTGTTGCTTTTGTTAGGAAATTGGTGTGTGGTGGTTGAAAAACTTCCAGCACAGAGCCAAAAATATGTACATACCTATATTGTACATTCGGTGCATGGGCAATAAATGATGACTATTAATCGCATTGACGCGAATCGATTGAACTGATCGAAATTCTGAGGATCGAATAACGTTGCCTCGTTTTGTTTTGCGGCTGGGTAATTTGTCGCAGCTGGTTGTTGTTGCTGTCGCACGCTTTTGATAGTGTTAATTGCATTGCATTATGCTGCAACAATAGGGACCTTTTGTGATTTTATGTAGGGCTGTTTTGCCAACGCTGCTTTACTTTGGACGTTTTGCAATTTCCTACGCAAAATGTCCCACTTGCCTTACATACATACATACATATGTATATACATGCATACATTTTTTGTAATTTTTCTCTTCTTTGCTGACAGTTTCACTATATTTTTTACCTTCACTACATCGCAGCGTGCGCGTGTGTTACGCAAATCGCCGAGGATTTGCCGAAACCGTCCGTGCCACCGCCTACGCCGCCTCCAGCTCATGCAGGAGATGTAAATAAAATTCACGCTATTAAAATCAGACTTTTCCAACCCTTAACTGGGCGCCCATTTGTGCCAGAGATTTGCACTAAGTACCAGTCTGTCGTCTACTCACTGGTTCACTGCTGCTACGCAAACAATCGACCACCCTGCAGCCCTGCATTATGTGCTGTCGCACCTTATTACTCGTTGCAAATACAGTATCTGATCGTTTGGGCTAAATCGCCGCCCAAAAGGGATATGCGGCAGCAACCAGCGCTGTGGTTCGGAATCCTTGCTTTCGGTCCTATAAAGCGGTTGACGACCTCTCCTTCCTGTTCTTCTTTCACTCGAATTTCGCTGTGCGTGAAGTAGGGCGGAAGATTGCACTCCCTTGTTTCGTTGTGAATTTACTTCAATTACGAACAATATGTATTTTTACATGCATGTACATATGTACATACATATTTAGTGCATTAACATACCTGCCGCAACGACGGTAACCGCTGTTAACAGTTCCGCCAGCGCAGGAGTCGACGGCGAAGTAAACAACAACGAGTAATCTGTTCATGAGCTCCGCAAATGAAGGTGGAGAAGTTTACATACAAATGCCCACGCACACGGGCATACATATATATACATACATATGCACATACATATGTATATTTACACCTACGAATCCAGCGGAAGTTGAAAGACACCGGAAAGAACACTGTACACATTTATAAATATCACATGTAAACACACACAAAAATAACATGCATACTGAAGAACACTTGCATAGGTACATACATATGTACATCCACACACCCCGGGACAAAATTATGCAGTCACCGGGGTTGTGCTACATATTTGTTTAAAATTTTTATAATTTTTAACCGAGAATCTTAATTGTTTTTGTATTGGCACAAGGTGAAAGACTCATATAAGTCACAAATTTTTTCATTTTTGAAACTCATATTTCTTACCCATCTAGGACTCCTTTCGGACTCATATATTCTGATCGCTCAGAATATGTTTGCGGGGTAGCTACATACTAATAAGCGCATGTTGAAAATTTGTTGATTTTTTCTAATTTTTGTACTTAGTTTGAAATTGGGTTTATAGGGTTTTGTAAAAAAAAAAATTATGAAATTTGAAAAAAATAATGGTCTAAACGGATGACTGTATCGTTTTGACGCTAGGTGTTCGTATGCATGTACTGATTTGTAGATGCATGTGTGTTTGCAAGTATGTACATTGTTTGCGTCTATGCAATTATATGTATATATATGTACATACATACACGCACAAAAGAATGTGCAATTTAATGACAATTGTGTACTAATCCAGCACTATATACATACATACATACATATAAAGTTTGTATATATGAATGTACTATTTCCAGATACGGTTGCTTGCGTGTTTCAAAGCGTCGGCCATTTTAAACGCCATAAACAATACAATGAATAAAGGTAAAACTCCAACAACAACAACATGATCGACAAAGTATGTACATATATATATATATATATATAGATGTGTATATCTAATAGTTTTATATACCAGAAAACGTGAAACACGGGCTGTTTTGCATTACAACACAAACAACAACACAAATATTACCCAATGCAAAGAAATACCAAACACAATATTAAAAGAAGTCGTAGAAAAATCCGGCAACGCAAAGTAGCGTCCGGCAATGACAAACTGCGCCAACGAAGTCGACTGCGCTGCCAGTCGTGCACGCTGACGCGCGCTGCGGCGTTTTTCTGCTCGACATTCGTTTGTGAATTCGTAGCTGCGGTTCTCGCATCTGTGAAATTTGTTCTTCACTTGGAATCGTACGCTCGCCGGAAACACATCAATTGTCGGGTTAAGTTGTCTTTATCGTGCAAACAGAATCACAAAAAAACCAACAGCATTAACTTAATACATACATATATATGTATAAAAAACTAGAAAAAAAAATTTAGCAAATTATAAAACAAATTTAATCGCTTAGTGGAGTGAAGTAGCAGAATAAAAAGTAAAATAAAAAACTATTAAGTATTCGTTAGTTACACGACACGACGGCAACTAATTACGCCAGTATTCGTATACATATTTTGTGTGTTGGGCAGAGAAAATTTTACGGAAAAGCTATAAAGAGGTAAAGTGAAAATTCAATGAATTTTTTGTGTTTAGATAAAATCGACTGAAAACTAATAAGTACATGTGCCCACTTGCACTGTAATTGCATACATATCTAAAAAGTTTGTAATTAAACTAAACGCGTGTGTGCAAAGTTCATTAAACTCCATGTTGCGTTGCTAGTATGGAAAAATTGAAGGAAATTCAAGACGGACCTGAGCGTGCAAAGAAAAAGGGTGCAGCTGTAGCAACCCAGACCAAGCGTCCAATAGACGAAAGAGCCGCACGAATGTAGCTACGAAGCAGCAAGCATATGTGAATATATCGATTTGAAGAGTCAAGCTCGCGATTGCGCAGCTAGCGCAGAAAAGAATTTTCCTTTTGTTCATACGGAGCGGGAACAGGAAGGGAAAGATCGTCCTCCCACAGGCATTTGTAGCTAGAGCTAGTGCAGCAAAGCAAGAGAAGCAATAGTAGTGAATTGTCGGGCGTTAATAAGCGTAATAGTCGGTGGTCTAGCAGAAAATATTAAATCTAGATTTGTACATAAATATTTTGTTTGGATATTTATCTAACAGCACGTACAAAAAGTCCAAATTAATCGCAGCAAAAACCTAGTGAGGTATTGAGGAAAGCGAAAAAATACATCTTTATAATTATCCATTGCAAATATGAACTACAAAAGAAAAGTATCTCATAGATACAGAAAAGTGACGGCAATAGCGTCATAGGACTACATACGTGCAAGTGTGAGCGTTTGTGTATGTATGCAGTGGTTATTTTTTGTATTCACGCTAAAACTAGAACTGTGAAAAGACTAAACTACACTTTTTTGTCAAAAATATATATGTATATGCAATTTAGCGATTTCCCCCATATCATTCGGGGGGCTGCTATATACTTATGTACATGCACATGTATTGTGTCATGTTTTGCACAAAAATTTTCTCTACACCAACTTCAATTAATTTTACAGCAAATACGTGCAGAATTCGTAAGCAGCATGCAAGCAAATTAACACAAACGAGAAAAATCATCCAGGAAAAGTGTATCTACCGCGCAATCGTCTGAAAGCGGAAAATTTATACGAGAAAAAAGGCAAATACATGCAATATAAGAAAATCGATTAATCGATTGGCGCATCCAGCAGATTCGACAAAACGCTTACTTTAGCGTTGCCAACTAATTGCAATTTCAAGTAGTCGACGTTGACGTAACTTACGCAGCCGCCGCCGGCAAATCAGCGCAGCTTCAAAGCGAAAGCACAAATTTACGCAACAGCGCAGTAGTATAAAAAAGGCATCAAAATTCTAGCCGCAACGAGAAAACCACACGCCAACACAAGTAAGTACTATTTACAACAAAAAAAGCAAATGCAACGCGACTTGCTTTTGTATAAAACGCAATGATGCGTCGCTGTTTACGTTGTCGCTTCCGCATTACATATGTATTGTTATGTGTTTGTTTAGAGTGAGAGTGCGCACTTTTCTATTCTCTTCTTTGTATGTAGCTTTATTTCATTCTTTCATGCGTCGGCGCATCAACACAAAATAGAAATACATAAATGCAAAAACAGCCAGCTATAGTCGTTAGGGTAAAAGGAGGGTGGTGTGCATATGTCTGTCGATGTGTATTTTGCTCTGACGCCGTTGATTGTGCACATTACTCTGCGACGGCAGTAAGGTCCCCACCCAAGTACTACATACTAGCTCTGCTAAAACCAAGTTTCTAGGGTTAAAATTTTGTAGCTCGTTTTTCAAGCGATTTCATCGCATTTGTATATTAGCCGGGTAGTTTTTAATCGGTAGTCATGTTGAGGGGGCGGCGAAGTGGCATTGGTATGGCAATTTTATTCCATTAGGTGTTTGGAAATAATACAAATAAAAACAAAAAATTATAAACATTTTCGAGGGCAATTGATTATTTTTTAATTCAAAGTCAAACCCTTTTAAAGTCACTTAGCTACTTTAACTGAACGGCACATATACAATGGTGGAAAAATAAATAGGGACACGACTTTTTTTTCAAATTTTGCCTACTTTTCTTTCGCTTTTATAAAATTATAGCTCACCATCTAACAAAAACCATATGAATTCATATGTATTTCAACTTTTTAATCGGATTTTTTAGATTTTTTTGAGTATGCAGTTTTATAGCCCATTAAATTACGCATTTTCTTCCATACAAAGTATGTTCGCTAAATTTTTGTATGAAAAAAGTACATAATACATTCAGAATAAAAATTATCAAAAATCAACGCGATTTTTTTTAGCTTACCCTTTAATGGGCTATAAAACTGCATACGCAAAAAATTCTTAAAAATCCGATTAAAAAGTTGAAAATTTAGATGCAATTTTGCAGAACTTTTATAAAAGAAAAAAATAATAAATATGAAATGAACAAACGAAAAATATGAAAAATTTGTTAAAAGGTCGTGTTCCTATTCATTTTTCCACCACTATATGTGTACATTCGTGACTAGGGAAACCTTACCACCAATTTTTTTTTAGTTTGGTAGAATAGTGTAAAGACTTAATTTTTTTTTTATACACCTGCGTTGAAATAATTAGAAACTTAATTCAAAATGATATTGTTTGCAAATTATGTTTATTTTTTTATTTTAGATAATTTTCATTTAAAATATAATTCAATCAGTAACAGAAATCACAATAATTAAAGTTTCAAATCTTGCAAAAAATTTTAATCATTCTTCAAAAAATTGTCATCAAAATTTCCCAATTTTTAAACACAATATTTAGAAAATTTTCGGGTATGTAGTTCTGTAGCCCATTCAATTGTGGTCAAAGTAAGTGCCATTCTCAAGTCGTTAAAAATTACGGTTTTTCAATTTTTTTTTTGTGGAGGGTGTTCATCCAAAAAAAATTTTGATCATGTGTTATATGGAAGAAAATGCGCGACACCCTCTACAAAAACAATTCTAAAAAATCAACGGTAATTCTTAACGACTTGAGACTTGCACTTCCTTAGACTACAATTGAGTGGGCTACAGAACTACCTACTCGAAAATTTTCTAAATATTCTGATTAAAGATTTGGAAATTTTGATGACAATTTTTTGAAGTTTGTTTAATTTGTTTGCAAGCTTTGAAACTTTTATTATTGTGGTTTCTGTTACAGATCGAATTATATTTTAAATGAAAATTATTAAAAAAAATATATATATATAATTTGCAAACAATATCATTTTGAATTTCGTTTCTAATTAGTTGAAAGCAAGTGTACATACATACATATGTACATAATAAAAACCCCAACAAAAATTATATAAATAAAATATTCAAACTATAATTTAGAAGAATTCTTGTTATAATTTTGTAAAAAAAAAATCAAACAACAATTTTTATAGGTAGAAGTTATTGCTGCTATTGTTGTTTTGTAAAATTGTTTAATATATATGTATATATTTTTTAATATAGTTCAAACCGCAAAAAGAACTTTATAAATGAAAGTTTCAAAATTTTTAAAAAATTTAGAAAGTTCTTAAAAATTTCATCAAAATTTCAAACTTAAAAAAATCAACGGTAAGTCCTAGCTACTTTAAACTTGCATATTATTAGAATAAAATTAAAATTTTCCTACAAATTTTTTTTAAATTTGAAATTTTGATAATTATTTCTAAATTTTTTACAAAGCTTGAAACTGTTATTTATATAGTTTTTGTTGCTGCTTTAACTAAATTAAAAAAATAAATAAAATAAAATAAGTAAAAATTTATTAATTTACAAAATTCTACCAAATTTAGTGCTAATGTAAAATAAAACTGAAAATGAGTATGTAGCAGTGCTTTGCAATCTAATAATTGATACGCGGTTTAATACCCCAAACACCGATATGTGTACATGTTTGTAGTCTGTACATACTTTTACAATAATGAGACATTAGAAAATATCAGACCGAAGGCGAAACTTTACATTCCAGAAAATAAACTAGCCACTTTCCAAATGCACAGCTATGGTAGAGTTGGTTGTTAAATTTTCATCATTCTAATTTTAAGATTTTAGCACAGCGACTTCGTATACCGGATAACGCATCATTCTTACACTCGTTGGATAAAAAAAAATCTGTTGCAATGAGTTTGATGGCACATCCCAGATAAAATTCGCAAATTCTCTGTGATTTAGTTTGAAGTTAAGACTTGGATCATCGTTCAATTTGTGACAAATGCCATAATATAATGGAATTGAATTTGCATTGTACATATCGCACACGTTCTTCAAAAGAGATGTATTTCAAAATTTGTAATTTATGATATGATGCACTAAAAATGCTCTGTCAGCTTTTATTTGTCAAGTATTTCTTGCTGATATGATTAGAATGTGCGTAGAAATAGTTTTTTGCGTTTTCATGAAACATGAAAATTTGAATTAATACGAACGTGTGCGATATGTATTTTTCTAATCTATCTTATTCTCATTAAAATAACAACCAAGTCCGTAAAAATAAATAAAATTTGAAATGCTTTGTAACTGGATACAATTGTTTAAGGAAGTCGCTTGGAAAAAGCATTTAAAACCAATTTCATTTTTGATAAATTAAGTCATTTTTATTTCCATGCATAGTTTTAAATATGTACATATGTAAATAAAAATAAATCTAATAATTTAGCATCACTAATTTACTTCTTTTTTCTACCTGCTTCTATCATCTACTCTATGCCCGCAACATTCCCGCTCACTAAACATCTTCGCTTCAATCGATTGCACTTGCCCCATTGCGCACCTGTCCATACGCAACTTAGTGGATTTTATGATGGCAAATGCCGGTGCTGCAAGCGCCGTTGACGCGCAGGCCCAGCTAATGGCCCAGACCGCTGCCAATCCGGCCGCTGCCGCAGCCGCCCTCGCTGCTTCGAATGCATCGCCTGCGCAGACTGCTGCCGCTGCTGCAGCTGCCGCACAACTGCAACAGCAGCAGCAGGTGCAGCAGGCCATTTTACAGGTGCAGCAACAGCAAACACAACAAGCCGTCGCCGCCGCCGCTGCAGCCGTCACCCAGCAATTGCAGCAGCAAAACACCAATGGCAATTCGAATAATCAACAGAATGGAAGCAATGGCTCTAACGAGACACGCACCAATCTCATTGTCAACTATTTGCCACAAACAATGACCGAAGATGAGATACGTTCGTTATTCTCCAGTGTAGGCGAGATAGAGTCTGTCAAATTGATACGAGACAAATCGCAGGCCTTCATGGATCCATTGAATCCGCAAGGACCGAGTAAGGGACAAAGTTTGGGCTATGGCTTCGTTAACTATGTACGCCCACAAGATGCCGAACAGGCAGTGAATGTATTGAATGGGTTGCGCTTGCAAAATAAAACTATTAAAGTATCGTTTGCACGCCCCTCGTCGGATGCCATCAAAGGAGCCAATTTGTATGTGTCCGGATTACCCAAGAATATGTCACAGCCCGAGTTGGAAGCAATTTTTGCACCATTCGGCGCAATTATTACATCGCGCATACTGCAAAATGCTGGCAACGATACCCAAACCAAAGGCGTAGGTTTCATACGCTTCGATAAACGTGAAGAAGCGACACGCGCCATCATTGCATTGAACGGCACCACACCAACCGGATGCACCGACCCCATTGTGGTCAAGTTCTCGAACACACCCGGTAGCACCAGCAAGATCATGCAACCACAGCTGCCTGCATTCCTCAATCCACAGCTGGTGCGGCGCATCGGCGGCGCTATGCATACGCCGGTCAATAAGGGCTTGGCCCGCTTCTCACCCATGGCCGGCGATATGTTGGACGTAATGCTGCCCAATGGTTTGGGTGCGACAGCGGCCGCTGCAAGCGCACTGGCCAGTGGTCCGGGCGGCGCTTACCCCATTTTCATTTATAATTTGGCACCCGAAACGGAAGAAGCGTCCCTCTGGCAGCTATTCGGGCCATTCGGCGCAGTGCAATCGGTGAAGATCGTCAAGGATCAAACTACGAACCAGTGCAAAGGCTACGGATTTGTGTCGATGACCAACTACGATGAAGCGGCAATGGCCATTCGTGCACTCAACGGCTACACATTGGGCAATCGGGTGCTGCAAGTCAGCTTCAAGACCAACAAATCAAAGTAAGAAGGTATCAACTTTTCCAGAACCAGATAACTTCAGTAGTAGCAGCAAACAGAAACAAACAGCAAAGTAATAGTAGTAGTAGTAAACAACAATGACAACAACAGCAAGCAGAACAGATACATGCATACACAAAACAACAACCAACAACAACGTAGCGGAAATACATACAACAGCAGTTGCAGGAACAAAAAGAAAAAAAAAGCGTCGGAGAAAGCTGTAGCGTCCGTCACTGCAGGCAAGTTGGTGGAAATGCGCGTGTTGGCTTTGTTGGTACTAGTTTGTTTCGAAACTGTTGTGTGTGTGTGTGCGTATGTGGCGGGAGCGCGTTGTGATGGACAGGGTGGGTGCGTACCCCAACTCGCAATGCGCTCTCATTGCCACATGCGAAGTACCACGTGCGCGCCAACCGCGTATTTTCCATATTTTGTATTAAAGAGATCTTGAAACTTAAGAAAAATCGAGAAGGAATACCGTTCAAGAAATGTTAGCTAGCAGCACATAGTGACAAATTAAATCAATTAACAATTTGCGAAAGTGAAATTAATTTATTTAATTTGTTGCTACACAACTGTGTCCAAGGCAGAAGTTAGTTAAGTTAAGCAACAAAACAAACTGAGTAGTCAAGGTGCATGAAAAGAACGAAGAAGAAATTACAAAAGTTTTGTAGCTTAAAGAGCAACTAGAAAGACAGCATGCTGAAGCAGACATAGAATAGGAAAACCAAAGCGATTACATTTGTTCTGTGTTAACGTTTTGCCACCCCCACGCAAATAAAAAGAACGAGCAAAAAGATAAAGAAAAAAATGTATGCGCCAAATAATAAAATGGCGCGCCAAATGCCGGCTAGCAACCACCCGATGAGCGTGACAGCAGGCGGCAATCTGCCCACACGCCCGAGCGATGTATTTGTAGCAACCACAAACCACTTCAAATCACACACATCCCTCGTTTTTTTCACAATGATCGCTGGTGAACCTGCTCGCGTGCGAACCTTCAGAAAATTCAGGGCAAAAGGTTGCTACACATACATACATACCTAAATGAAAATATACCATAACCATATTTCCTGTATATTTTTGGCGAAATTTAGTAATTTTACTCGTTATTAGCACAAGTGCTGCCAGAATTCAGCTTAATTGTGCTGCATAGAAAGCAAATGGCTAACAACAATTAAAAATTATTACAAAAATTTTTTGCTATTTTTAATTTCGCCCACAGCTGCATCTCTTAAATGCGTGTGTGCGCCATATGTACATGTGTGTTCCTGATTGCGCTTGTACGAGTTGCCAGCGGCAAATAAGTTGTCGAATTTTAGCAATAAAAAATATAATTTAGTTGCTAGCTAGTATTTCTAACAAATTCAATGCAAAATTAATAAAGTTTTTGTAGTTCGGAACGCGAAATTGGTTTTCCTATTGTCGCCACCTTTGGAAAATACGCTGAGATTTTGGCATTTTGTAAAATACGTTGTTTTGTAAGAATCAAACAATTGTTTAAAAGAATTGAGGAAAAAATGTAAAAAATATGCAAAAGTTTGGAGACTTGGATGCAAAAAAGCAAAGTGGAAATTAAAAATTGTTCATTCAACTCCAAAAATGTATTTCTGCGTCTGTTCGCCAATATCCCTTCTATAATCGTACGAGTAAGCGCATGGACCGCTTATGCAATAACTAAGCTTCAAAAAACTTATAAAAAATCGAAATTACACAAAGAAATCAACACATGATTTTTTGAATCACACTGAGATTTGTAATTACTGCTAAAATTGGCTCAAACTGAGCAATCTAAAAATAAAAAAAAATGTAATGAAACTACTACTAAATAACAGTATAAGAAAATCGATATGCTCAATGAGCGCCAATTAGGCAGAAAAAATATATGAATATAATACTATGCATAGGCATCAAAAACTAAAAAAAAAAAATCAAGTAAACGTGAATCTTCCGAAACGTCGTAAAAAGCGTAAAACAAAAAAAAAAACGGCCTCCAGGCAGCAATATGGGTATTTCTCAATAAATTTAAATTTGCAATTTCCAAAGTTGACAATTTTACACAAATACCAAGTAAAAAGAGCAAAATCGATAAATTTTAAAATGCAATAAAGTAGGCAGGTGCTTCAAAGCTAGAGGAGAGAATGTTCACTGCATGGGCGCGTACGCAGGAGCGATAAAAAGAAATATAAATAAAATTAACTTAAGCGTTTGAAAACGTTTTTTCTTGCTATAAATAACCCAATAAATGGCAAACATAAATATTAAGCTTAAAAAAAACGAATAAAGATAAGTTTGGTGAGCTTCGGACCGATGAAAGCGCGAGAATAAAATATAAAATAATTTCAAAACATAAACCGGTACTAATTTTCAAATATTTAAATAGACTATCAAAAGCAAACCAGCAATTAACATAAAATATAAATAATTAAAAGAAAGAAAAAAACATTAGAGAACATAGTGTAAAGGCAACGTAAAGGAGGCTGCTACAGTATTAAATAGCAAAAAGTAAATTTTTAAAAGAAAAACTTTTAAATAAGTTAATAAAGAAAAATAAATAGAAAATTAGAGCAAAGCATGCGTGCGCATTTGCATTATAAAATATTTAATATAGCAATAAGAAAGCTAAAATTTGCGTCAGTTTTGCAAACAAAATTTGTATGCAAAAAAAACGTAAAAAGTCAGTATCGAGCAAGCTACTATAATTCCACGTGCACACATCCACTTCAATATGAACTTAAGCATAAAATGCCTGCAAAAATTACATAAAATTCGGAAATAACTCAAAATAATACAGTATTTTACATACATACACTTTATGCATGCATATGAACGAAAGTACCAGGGATACGCACATTATAGTCGCAAAAAGTAACGAAAAGCTCGTATGGCAAGTCTATGGTCGAAAAGAAAGAGCATTTAAAATTTCAAAAATCTTAAAGCGCTGAATTGCGTTAAAGTTGTGTTGACTGCGCTAAAAATAAAAATGGGAAGGGAAGCGGTGTATTTTGAAATTTAAAAGTTTCTATGCGCTGAAATCAACCAAATCGCGTTAAAGTAAACTTCTTTGGAACTGTCTATCACAAGCGCTACTTTTTCGCCATCGCTGTTGCATAAGGCGATTGTTTTTATTTTTGAAAATTAAAAATGTCCTGCGACAAAATTGTAATTTAAAGCACAAAAAGTCTACGAATACAATAATTACTATTATGTGATTGCATTTTATTTATGTTTTCCTAAAAACATACATTTGAACAAACACACGTACATACATATTTGTAAATTTTCAACAAAAATTGCATATTTTTGCTACATTTATCAAAAATTTCCATTTAGTTTAGTTACAAAAGCAACAGAGACGACATGGAATGCGATCTTAATTTTTTAGTGAACATCATTTAAAATTTTTTTTAATTATTGTTAGCATACCTTTCCTGGGCTTTTGATTTCTCATGCATACCTCGTTTTTCGATAGTATTTTTCGTTGGTTGTGTGTGCAATACATTGTTATCTTGTGTTGATTTCTCTGTTTCAATTTCATTTCGTCTTGTTGTTGCGTATAGACAAATTTTGCGCGCTTTTTTTTTTTTAATCAGCTATTAGAGCGTTTAAAGCTTAAAATAATTTAGCATCAATTTTTAAGAACAATTTTAATTTTCTAAACGCCTGCGCTGCGGCTTACAAGCACTCCGCTACATATATTTCCAATAGGGTGCAGTTTACAGTTTTGGTTTTGGGTTCAGTTCGATTTCTCACCTCAGCTACTACTCTTAAGTTTGTTGTTGTTGTTGTTTTTAATGTTTAATTTTTAAAGAAAATTATTGACCCGCGTATTGAACTTTTACGTGAGTAACACCCAGTTTGACAATTTAATTTTATACACACATACCTAGTACATACATACATATATTTACATACATATATTTACATACATATATATAAAAATTGCATACATGTAAAATGTTGATACGTGCGCGTTTGTTTCCCCAGCTACAATATGTTGTACACATAAATTTATACACATACTTGCATACAATATACACATATGTATTTGATTAAGGGAAATATACATATATACGTATATATATATATGTATATAAATATATAAAAATTCATATTTATTGCATATTTACATACATATTATACATAAATACTTATTTTATTTCTTTAACGTTGTTAAAAGTAAAACAATTTTGCTTTCAATTTCTATACACAAAGCTAAGGACAATTGCGCAATGAAATAGGAAAAAGGAAAATAATGATACTATTGCAAACACGAGTACATATACATATGTGCGCCTAATTTATATTCGCAAAACATTTATTTTTTTTTTTAATACACAAGCACATTATCTACACGTCAACATATTTACAAAAACATGCAAACACATACTTTGGTGTATGTGTTTATTTAAGCATTAATTTGGTAGTTGTTAAGTGATTTTAGTTTTAGATTTTAATTTTCAATTCGAGAAGGAACAAAGCAGCCGAAAACTAGCGCAATAGGGGTATTCAATGTGTCCGGGATTGGGCATTGTGCCTGCATAAAGGCGTGGCTTGCCAATGCTTGTAATTCTTTTTCGGCATACATAGTATAAGAAAGCTCAACTGTCCAATAGGAAATGCGACCAACAGAGTGAATACCCCGTTTTTCTATTAAGTTGCGCGGTAATAGGAGAAGAAGTTACAAAGCCCCAGAAAAAAGTAATCAATTTACATATTTATTATTCTAGTTTACATTATTTTTAAATTAGTACATTTTATGGATGCTAAACAACATGTGGCCGCAGCTTATTGCCACATGCATTGTTATACATATTATTATTATTATTCTTAGTATTCTTTCTTCAAAGTGAGACAGTGAAACATGAACAAATGAAGAAAAAAATGCAAAAAGTGAGCCGAGCGCTAAGCGAGGAAACGCATGAGAACAAATAAAAGTAATTAAGTTAAATTAAAAATAAAATTACACTTAAGATGGACGTAGTTGTAGTAGAGAAATAGGTGGTAAACAAAAACACAAGTATACACAAAACGCATGAAACAAACAAGAATTCTAGTCAAAAATGCAAAATAAAAAAATGCATAAAGCAAAAAAGTAGGAGAGAAGAAGGAAGTGTAGTAAAAGCGAATTAAAAAAATTAAATATTTGCTAATGAAGTTAAGCAGCAGCGGCATATGATGTTTAATTGACGCAAAAAAAAATAATAGCAATTAAATGATTAAGTGTGACTGACGCATGTTTCGTCGCAGCTATGAAAGCATGGCAAGGAACAATTTTAATTGCATAAAAATACGATACAATTTCTGCAGCTATAGAAACTACTAAACACATACATATGTACATACTACATACATTATTCGAAAGAAAACACAACAACGGCGAAAGCAAAGATAAAAATAACACTAAAATAACATCCAGAGTATGTTGTCTGCCACCGTTCATTATGCAATGCAATTATTATGTTTATGCTAAGAAAGGCGGTGAAAAAAATACGTGTGTACGGTTCAGGGACAAATTTAATATGAAAATTTTCAAAAAGAATAATATTTCCTATACTTATGTTACATAATAAGTACATATGTGCTAATTTGGTTTATAAAAAGTCGTCTCAATTTTGCGCATTCTTTAGAAATTTCGACGATATTTTCACTTCATATGGCCGTGAGAGATGTGCTACGACGAAGTTAAAAAAAAAATATATTTAAATATTTTGAACAAAAGTTTCTAAATCATGGAAGTTAGACGATTTTCAAAATTCTTAAGTGAACTTTGAAAAGCTGAAATTTTAGGAGTTTCGAACGCTTTGCTGATATATTTAAAAAGATTTAGAAAAAAATTGGAAAATCTTTTAATCAGCAACTCATAATGAGGCTGATTTTTCGAAATGTCTTTCAAATTCCCCGGATTCGTTCCGACGGTATAGCAAAAGTGTGATTGCTTTTAAACTTTTTTATGAACCTGTTGATTTTGTTTTTAAAAGTGGCAGATGATTTTCTTTCAACACGCGTTTGCACAAAGTTCAGTTCGAAAATTTTCGAACTTCGAATATTTATGGTATTTTTACCGAAAAAAATTCTATGTTCGAAATACGAAGTCTAAAACTTCCGAAGTTCGCTTGTTATATTAAAACAACTCTCACTATTGTGCTTTTCTTAAGCTACTTTCGTGAAATAACCAATTTTTTATACATATTTTCCGTGCTAAAACGCTTACTAAAATTTCCGGAAAAACTTCAGTTATAAAAAATAAAAAGATCTGAAGAGTTTGGAAAACTAATTTTTTGAGGTTCTTTTCTCCGCTTATGAATTTATCTACACTTTTAAGTTCAAACTGCACACAAAGCAACAAAAAATGAGGCATTAAAAATGTATTCGAAATATTTTTGTTTTGCTACAAAAGCGAGGAGAAATTCTGTGCAATAGTGTCTACGCGAAAATGTGTATCTCAGAAGAAAGTATAAATTTTTTGCATATATTTTATGATAAAACTAATTTTAAAATGTAGTACATACTTATTTTAAGCATTAATATTTTAAATTATTATGCATACTTACAAAAGAGTAGTTGAAAATGAAAGCGAAAGTATAGCAAAGTAAGAAAAGATCCGAGTGCAAGAAGCAAATTTGATTGATAAAGTACTTTGCTTTCTTTTTTTTGGCACGAAAAATAAATGAATTTTTTAATGAAATGCAGCAGCTACAATTGAAATAAAGCGAGCACATGCAAATAGATGGACAGGGGAGTACAGACGAAGAGAAGGGCAAAAATCGGCAAGAAATTGGAGAAATAAAAATGAATCTTAATAGAACTTAAACAGGAAAATAGACCAAAATTAAAGGAAAACCATGTTGCAATCACACCATACAAGAGAGAAGAGAGGTGTTAGAAAAAGAAATTAAAGGCGGCACCAACAAGAAAAATGTTTAGAAAGAGCAATAAGCCAAAAGGAAAAAAAAAAACAGAGAAATGAAGAGCAAATTTTCGAGCGATGTCAGGCGCTTTTTTTGGCACAGAGGCACTCAAAAAAGGCTGAAAAAAGAATGAAAATGACACAGGAAAGATAAGGAAAATGTTAAAAACTCGACCGATATGCAAATAGACGTACAAAAGCGCAGCACCAAATTTTAATACAAAAAAGTAACTAAAGTTACGGCAGGCAGTTAGTTTAGTGTTTACAGTTTTTTTTTTAGTTTGTTTTCATGTATTTCAAATTGCATTTTTGAAATGTGTGTGCGTTTTATATTACATATAATTATTATTTTTCTTAATTTCAAATAATTATAAGATTTTAATTTTAATTTTTATATTATGAAACAAACTCTTTTATATTCATGTTTTATGTTTTGTAGTTATTGCTATTATATGCGTACCTTAACAAGAACAAAGAAAAAAAAAGAAATGGGTAAAGGAAAAAAATAACAATAATTACTATTTTCATGGGTTTTCAGTTTGTTTTGTATGATTTCGTAATATAATTTTTTTTTTTAACTAATCCAACAAACCACAAAATAGCAGTAAATGCAGTTTGTAAACCATAGTTTTAATTGACTTGTGTTTTTAAATATTATTTTACTTATACGTAATTATTATATTTTGTTTTAATTCCCTTCATAGCAGTCCTTGCGTTTAGTTTGTAATTGATTTGCGTTAACCAATGTAATTTTAATTTCACTATAATTTATTTATTTTTTTCATTTATTAATGTTTATAATTTAGCCATTTTAATCTGTTTATATTTATGTTTTACGACAACAATGTTTGTATGCAGCAAATTAAAATAAAAATTGTGTAAAAAGAAACGTTAAAATCTTATCAAACAGAACGTGTATTTGAAAACTACAAAAAAATTGCATATGAAATGAATGCATTGCAAAATTTTGCTGTACAGGCCCACTGTGCAGAGCTGCGCGTAGCATTTGGATACAGCCTGCACAAGCGCCTTTTTTGCAAACTAAAAAATTATATTTTTTAAATATTAGTTATTATTTTCAAATATGCATACACATGTATGTATAATTATTTTAAATCAAATTTTAATACATATTATTTTATTTAGTTCTGATGAACTTGTGTCCTTTCTCTGAACCATATTTGCGCATTTAAATTTTATTTTGTTAATGTAACTAATCACAAATTTTTCCAAACACGCCAATACAGATTAGTGTAGCTCCACAGCGTAGTAAAAGGGGAGTTGGAATGGAAGCCTCATTTGCATACAAATTAAAAATTTCTGGCAATAATTGTATGAGTTAAGCTGCCTTTACACGAATCGATTTTTGTCGTTCAACCGTAAAATGTAAATGTTAATTGCTTTTCACTAGGCAACAAATAACATATGTTCGGCATTTAAAAGTGGAGATTCCGAATTATAACCATTGTAAATTTCCCGCTTTAAAAGCATACATACATACATATGTGGTCTTTCATTGCAATGACTGAGGTACGGCTAACATTTCTCAAATATTTATTGAGTTCCAAATAGATACAAATCGCTCCCTCTCTTTCTGACTTTATTCCAATAAGGAACGCTAATACTTCTCACTTTTATATACAAATATTGCTAAAGAGTTGATATAGTTATTGATTGGCGCTTATATGTTAGTGTTTGGCCGAGCTTCTCCTCCGATTTGTGGCGTGCGCCTTGATCTTGTCACACAAAGTGAAGGGACTTACAGTTTTACGCCGAGCCCAACGGCGATTGTATTTTTATGAGAAGCGGTTTTTCATTGCAGAAATACACTCGGCAGTTTGCCATTGCTTGCGCTGTTAAGAAAAAATCTTTTTTTTCTATATTTTTTGCGATGTTTGCTTTGATTGACCAGGGCTTGAACAGAGGCCCGCCTGGAGTTTTTATATCGAGCCCTAACTGCCAAAAGAGGTGAGCGTATTTTTTTTTTTTTCTTTTCGATGCAAAAATGCATCTAGATGCTCTAGGAATATTTCTGCATCAAAAATAAAATGTCGGAAAAAATGTCGCTTACATTTTTTTTTGTGCGGTTAGGGGTCGATATGTTGACAGCAGTCCTTCAAAAAAAAAAAAATAAATAAATAATAAAAAATTGCTCGTTTAACACCACAAGTATCCACAACAAATATTTGCAAAAACAAAAAAGTTTAAGCTTCATTATTACTTTTAATTTTAATTATAAGTTTGTGTTTTCATTTTAATTTAATTAAAATTCAAATTTGTATTTCTCACATAAAAAGGAAGACATCAAAATTGTATTGAAAAAACTGTAAGGAAAATACGCAAGAGAATTTTTAGACGAAAATCTGTGGTTTTGACCTTAAATAAAATATCAATTTTGATTTTTAAATTTGATTTGTTTTTTATTTTATTATTATGATTATCATTATGTATTACCATTGTCATTATCAATATTATTATCGTCGTTTAAAGTACAAAACCGCGCATGTTCGGTTGCATAAACTATTTTCTAGAGAGTAAAAACACTAACATTTCAAAATGGGTCTCTTTTTTTATAAAGCAGTCGTATTTCTGGCTAGTATATTTCAGGACGAATGGCAAAGGATTGAGCCAAAAGCTTGTGTGAGCAAATCGAATTTTTGGCAGCAAATGTCAGTTACGCGGTTTTGCAGAATGATGATACGCGGTTTTGTACTTTAAAGGACGTTACACATTCATCATTTTTTCATTTCTCGTCCTCTCCGTTTCCCATTTATCATTTTATGGCCAAAAATATTTTGTTCATTAGTGTGGCACACAAACAAGTGCGAAAACTTACCACTGTTAAATTATCACTAAATATGGCAATTAGCTTACTTATTTGGGGTATTCACAAAATAGCATCACTAGTCATATTATCATAAAATCATTCATTTTATTGGGGTTAAAAATATTTTCGAGTGATTCTCCGAAACCGTTCTTTTAGCCCTTTTGAAATGTATGACATTATGATAATAAGACTCATGAAACCTTATGCATCCACTGACTTAGTAGTATTTTAGGCGATAAAACAAGCAAATACTTTCTCAAAATATTAAAAACTTTTTGAAAAATTTAGCAAATTTTGAAATTTTAAACCAAAAATTTAAAAAATTTTTCAAGTCAACGTACAAAAAATTACTTCAAGCCAAAAACTTTAAAATTTGCAGCAAAAAATTTAAGCATATATATATTTTTTGCTTAAAATTATTAACATTTGTTGGAATTACAATATGTACGTATTTCGTTTTGACTTTTGCCACACACGTGTCAAATTTCAGCTATTCTTTTTTCACGGAAGAAGAGGAAGCAAAAATCAAACACTCACTTTCTCACACTCGCTGAAGCGATATATGAAATTTTGACATTTGTGTACCGACGAAAATCAAATCAGCTGTTCTATTAATACCAACTTATATGAATTCACCTTGGCTTGAAGTGAATTTTCTTTTTGAAAGTCAAAAATTGTTTGCTTTGTAAAATTCTGAAAATTTTCTAGCAATTCAAACTAAATTTTTTTAATTTGAAATTTAAAGTTTCTGTTGCTTAAAGTTTTTGTTTTAATTTAGGAAAAAAATTGAATACCGTTAAAAAAAATCGTTGCCGCTATTTGTGTGCTGCGCTCTACTCATTCATGCTGCATTTATTCACCTCTACATCGAGCTCCGCCCTCTTTATTTTCACGTCCCTTTTTCTTTTTACTCCTTACCCAGTTGTAACTTTTCTCTTTCTCTCTCCCTCACTTTTTTATCATTCTCTTTGTTTTTCGTTGCTCGTTCTACCATATCTCGTTAGTTGGTTAATTTTTGTTGTACTGTTATTAAGTTTTCGTTTTGTTGTCAAAGATATAATTTTGTTTGGTTTACTTTTGTGTTTTTTCATTCGTTTTTTCGGTTTTCTCCCATTTATGTCGGCGTGTAGTAATTCTGTTGTTTTGCTTGTGGCGGCTCTTTCTCAACATTTAAGTGGCATTTCCCTGAGATAAGAATGTAAAAGATATCACCCAGGAGAGCTGCGAATTCCCGCAGTTTTCTTCTATTTATATTTATGCTCGCTGTTTCTACTTGTTCTTTTGTATTTCACATTTCAGAAAATTCATTTGTTTTGTGGAAAAGTATTTTTTCAGTATTGCTGAAGATTTTCTAAAAAATTCTGTGAATTTTCTTTCTAGTCAAGCAGCTAAACAGCTGTCCAGTGTATGAGGATTGAACTCGCAATTCGAATTCTTTTTTGGAATTCAAAATATTTTTTTTTATAAAAATTTAAAATACAGAATATGTTAAAAAAAAAACATTCCAATGCTAGTCAAAACGCAAAAATAAAGTCTTAAAAAATAGGTGTAAAACGTGTACTTATAACAGAAAAAGAACTATCCTTAAGAGGAAGAAGAAACTAATTTTACAAGTTTCTTTATTTATTTTTTGAAGCATTCCAAAAAAGTTAGAATGATATTGCAGCAAATAATCTACTTATTTACAAGAATACTCAACAAAAATTTTATTGACATTCTTATATTATATTTTTACTAGAAAAAATGCAGGCTTATAACAAAGGTGTTAATTTAAATTTGTATGTATTTCAGTGAAAAATGTGAATTTTTAATTGAATTATAAAAGCGTATAACAAAAAGCAAATGATGCATAACCAAAAAAAAAATAATGCTTCTATTGAAAAACGAAAAGACAGACATTTATAAGTTTATGAAATTTAATTTATTCAATTCTTATATATTTATCAATTACAAGCATAAAAACAAAAACGAAGCAAATGATATTTATGCAATTTATTATCTATCTTAAACATTATGATTACATTTATGATATTATTATTCTGCTAGCAGCATATTTATAAGCAAAACTAAAACAAAAAACATAAAACTTAACCAAAAACCCAAAATGAAAGTAATATTACATATAAATGTGTTTCAAAATATGCTTATGAGTTTTTCTTCATTTACTTTACCTAAAAAATTAGTATAC